TCAAACCAGGTTTCCAGGGATGATTAACCCTGGTGCATCACGGCTGTCAGAAACCGACCCGGTGGACGCATGTGTGACAGTCCGTGGGTGAGGTGTGTGTAGGCTCGTAAAGGATGTTCCTGGCCACTCAACAACAACGGAGGGCAGAGGAGCAGCGCCCACAACAATGAGCAGAGCGCCGGGTGGCTCAACAGTGAATTGGCGCAGTGGGGATCACAAGTGGTGCATCTGTCAGTCATCGAAGTCAATCGACTAACGCCTCCGCATGTCCCGTGACCTTCCAGCGAGCCTTCATCACTTCACGTGGCCTCAAAGTGCACCTAACCTGGCACAACCGCTGTGGTGACATCTTAGTGGTGAATGGTAGCTCTTGTTGAGCTCTGTGTTGGTGTTTAAAGGGCATTGTGCTGTAGGTGGTAGGCAGTAGCATTGTGATGGGCATGTGGTGAGCTCTGGCTACATTTAGAATAACATTACCACCACACTGTTGACTGTAACAGACTGCCTTTAACATGCCAGTTTACGCAATACGTACTATGGCATTCTAACACGATGGAGATGTCAGTGCAGGGCAAAAGGGGTAGAGGGAAACTGAGCGTGAGATGGGAGGTTGCAGTGTAATGAGATAGGACAGTTTGACTATAGAAGAGGCGCAGATTAGAAGCACGTGGAGAGAGAAAATTCGGGCAGCAATCCCCATGCGATACGGGCAGTCCCCGACTTGAGAATGGGCTCCGTTCCTGAGACCCGTTCGTAAGTCGGAACACTATATATTTAAATGCACATACGGCCAATGTGCAACAAAAAAGGGAAGCATTTTTAAACAAAAGAAAAACCAAATAGGCGATTCGCCTCGCAAGTGCGAGCTCACGTTGGCAAGTCAGATGGTTAAAAATAAATACTTTATGGAAGCTCGTTCGTAAGTGCGGATGTTCGTATGTCGGGCGTTCGTAAGTGTGGGACTGTTTGTCGTGGGGCTTCTGGCTTTGAAGAGGAACTTGCTAACAGAGCCACTCAAATGCTGTCACCTGTACAGTTGAGGGCGGCACCGTCAAATATTTCGAGGAAAATCCTCGCGTCTCGTGACCTCTTCTTGAGCCTTGAACACTCAGTGGGGAGCACGCTGCGGTAAAAAAAACTGCACAAATTTCCAAGTGAAATCTGCCAAGGGTCTGCTTCTCATTTCAAAACAGAACGATTTGCCCAAAGTGAATTATTTCAACGAGATATCACAGGGGCGCTGTTTATATCCGAATCTCCGCGTGCCATCTCTGGCTCCGAGTTTGTAAATGTTTTCTGCGAGGCTCATCACGGCTGGCTGCTGCGAGGACCTCTCTGTCGGTGCCTTTGATGAAAGAAAATAAGCACAGCTTTGTGGAAACAACTCCAGAGGCTGGATCCTTTGTGATGGATCGCAATTTCACTCACCAACACCACCCTCATGCCACCTATACACCATACTCTTAGGTTTTTTCGGTAAAGTCACGTAGGTAAAAATAAATAATAAATAATTATTTATACAAATAATATAAATAAAATAAAAAATCACTACGGTTATTTTGCTGTGCCTTTTTACACCTGATGAAGGAAGCTTGTGTTGCCTCCGAAACGTCGTGATTTATTATTTTATTTCTATTATTATTTATATTATATTTATGATTTATTTTTATTATTTCTTGTTATTTATTTATTTTTCCCTACGTGACTTTACCGAAAAAACCTAAGAGTATGAATCCTTGCAGTCACGAAAGCTTCAAATCTAGAACCTATACACCACTGTAATGGCACGTATAATTTGAGAAATATGTATTTTATTCCATGCTGCACATAAGCATTGTCTAGATTTGAAGCTTCCGTGAATGCTAGGATTCATACTCTTTGGTTTTTTCGGTAAAGTCACGTAGGTAAAAAATAAATGAAAACAACTAAATTAAATCACGACGTTTCGGAGGCGTAACCAAAGAGTATAGAAGCATTGTCATTTCGTACTATTAAGATGAAGTCAAACGTTCCCCCTGTTGAAACGGGGAGATTATCACGGTTGGCTGCGTACGGTGTGATCGAAGGTCAACATACAAACGAAGGTGGAGCTGCCTGTATCACTGTTGGCAGCTCTAAGCCAAAGGTGAATGTTCCATATTCCTATGACAGAACTTCCAAAAGACAACCAAACGACTCGTCATCAGCAGTGAAAAATCCACATCTGGATGAAGGGCTTCCCAAGCTGTTGCCATCTCTCACGATCCTGCAGTGAAACAATCCGCCTCGCACATGACTTCATCACTCCATCTCTCGGTGGACACGTGATTGGGCATGTTTCCTCCCTTGGCTGCCGCTCCAGTGGTTGAGAATAATCATACAACTGGATTATTGCAATTACTCCAGCGCCGATTAGAAAACCCTTACAATACAGGTATCCTATTAACAAAGGGATGTGTTCGCACATCATTTATGGCTTTTCCCATTCATTGAATGCGAAAAATTAGGGGTGTGTTTCGGACAGTCGTTCCAACTCTACTCCCAACCTAAAAGTATACACTAATAATGAATACACAATCTTAATGAACATACATATTAAAGTGATTGCATAGCAATTCAATGAAAACTAAAAAAAATAACCTTTTCAGGGAACTCACGAAAAGATCTGCTGCTGCTGCTGCATGTTGGAATGACTGGAGCTTGACCCTACCGCGGACACCGTGACGCTACCGTGGGAGGATGACGATGCTTCGTCCTCCCAGGTATCTTTGATCTCACAGTCCGTGGCAAGAGTGAAATTTCGTTCAAATTCGGAAAATTCGATTTTGTTAATTGACGAAAACAGTCCATGATTTGTTGATTGCGTGAACGCAAATTTCAATCCCATAACCTGTAGCCCATACCTCTCACTCTCCCCTCCTTATATGCCCCTCGGCGCGGCTTGGCTCCGCGCGAGCTGCGCCTCTGTTCTCGAACCTTCTAGAGCAGCGGTCCCCAACCTTTTTGGTACCAGGGACCGGTTTCGTGGAAGACAATTTTTTCACGGACCGGGGAGGGGGGGTCATCATTGGGTCTTTCCCCCTTTTCAAATAAGCTCTCCAGCAACGTTTGTGTTTTTACTCATTCTGGCTACTAGGGGTTAGAGCTTGTGGGCTTACCAACACTGTGACTGAGACAAGTGCGCAGTGCGGGAAAGATGCGTGGACGGAAGTGGTCAATAAAACAATGGGGGCGGGCCACGCGCGGACTCACCGCTCACCTCCTGCTGCTGTGCGGCCCGGTTCCGAACAGGCCACGGACCGGTACCGGTCTGCGGCCCGGGGGTTGGGGACCCCTGGTCTAGCGGGTTCCGGGGGCTTCCACACGAGGTCTACCGTGACCCTTGCCCCAGTTCCTCCGCCCTGCCGGCACACCCACATTATATGCTCAGCGGCGTGTGCGCTAAGTGCCCACCTGCAGTTGCTGCTGCTGTCCAACAGTCGGTGCTATGTCACTACAAGTATGCTGATTCTAGGTTACGCCACCTCAGGTGGTACCGACAAGCGAGATAGCCGGCATGGGCTCATAGACTAACATCAGCTTAGCCACAATTCCACGTATTGTCAGATATTATCGGCAAAAGGTTGAAACAGCAAATGCAGTTACTCACGAGGGTGCCTTCGATTTTAATTGATTGGCAGTTCTGTGTAAAAAATATTGGACATGGTTTCCGAAACAGCACTAAAATAGGTACCCTCTGAGACTCCGCACCTTGATGTGCTGTGCTAAGACCGTACTGAGCCTTGCCAGATAAACATGGAATCACCACCGCATACTTAAAACGATCGCCACAAAGTGTAGCCCCAGAGAATTCGGCGACATGTGCTCAATCTCGTCTGATCTCAGCAGCCCAGCAGGGTTGAGCCTATGGCTTAGATGGGCTACCTTCATGCATAACAGGTGCTATAGGCTGCTGCGGGGATACCTGGTGGGCAGTGAGTGTGTAACGTCCACCCTTGGTGGCGAATTTGTGTGCTATGAAAAAGGGTCGTTGCCCAAAACGTCGCCTATCGTATTTGTTTCATTTTAAAGTTACAGTATTATTCAAGAATGTTGACTTTTTGCCGTGTGAAGCAAGGTCAATTAACCTCCACAAATTCTTATCCAGCGGTCGTGGTTAAGCGTCTTCATTTGTTAAAGACTCAAAAGTCAACGGTGCTTCTATGTAAACACATTACCCTCAGATATTGACACGTGGAATTCCCACGGCACGCGTATAACTAAATAATGCACTCGGCCCTGCCGCCGTAACGTGGAATTTCCACATCCACAAAATGAATCAAGGATCACATTTCAAATCTATTGTTTAGCCAGGTTTGTACGTTGAACTTCTTTCGCGCCGTACGTAGCCTTTTATGGTAAATTACTGATATTTTTCTTTTCATTTTAATTTTTTAAATATTTTTTACCTACGTGACTTAGCCGAAAAAAACAAAGAGTAATTCACTAGGTTTATTTTCTCTTTCATTAGTACCCGATGATTATTGCTTGTGTCGCAATCGAAACGTCGTGTGCTATTATTACAAACTTAATTTGGAGCTTTCGTGACTGCAGGAATTAGTCTTTGGTTCTTGCGGTAAAGTCACGTATTAAGATAAAATAATATTATTGCATTTATTTTCTTTCTACAGTGGCTTTACCGAAAGAACTAAACAATTAAGGAAATAAAACGACTGATTCCGTGCGGCCTGCGTCCACGAGTAGGGGCAGACGCACCTGTGCCCACACACTCGTATGTATACACTGTACTAAACTTCTTTTGCACCGTACGTAGGCGACCGCGCTAACCGCTCTGGGCTGAACCCCCCCCCGCTTCCGTCAGCAGTGTTCGCGAGCGATGCAGTTGCAGCGCTGCGCCTTTAAACAGCCGGCAGACACCGGAAGTTGCTGCCTCGACCGCATTAAACGAAACGCGTTTTTCGTTGTTTTTTTATGACCGCGCGCTCCAGCTGTGACGGAGCGTGACCCCTCGCGGCCGCCGTCCGCACTCAACCAGGAAGTGAGACGCGGCCTTGGGAGTGGAGTTGCGTGCTTCGGTCCGTGTTTGTCTCTCTTGTTTATTGTTGTTGTTGTCGTTGTTGTTGTCGTCGTCGTGAGTGCAGTTGCAGCTGTCGCCGCGGTCGTAGAGAGACTCGGGGGGTCGTGGAGATTCGTAGAAGTCCGACAAATTCGTCGAGACTCGAGGGATACGTGGAGATTCGGAGTATCGACGGGGCTCGGCGTCACCCACAGAGAGACTGGCGATTCGTAGAGATTCTAGATTTGAAGCTTTCGTGACTGCAAGGATTCATATTCTTAGGTTTTTTCGGTAAAGTCACGTAGGTAAAACATCAAAATTAATGAAAATAAAATAAAAATCACGACGTTTCGGAGGCAACACAAGTCTCCGTGATGTTTTACCTACGTGACTTTACCGAAAAAAACCTAAGAATATGATTCGTAGAGACCCCAATCCACTTGCGTTATTGATCTAGACTCGAACACTTATCGAGGTTATCAGGCCCAATGAGATCCGTGTGACTTGTCGAGATTGACAGATTGGCGAGCTGTATCTGAATGGGGTCCCCTCTTCACCAACTCGTAGTGACCAGTGTGGTCAATTAGGCCTTCATCCAGCAGTGGTTTCACAAGAGGCGGTGTATTACAATACCCCGTGTGAATCACGGAGATGATATATTGTATGCAGAGAGATTCTCGGAGGCTCGCGGATGTTACTACAGACTCGTGGTGACAATGAGACGCATAGAGAATGAGACTTATCGACTCCTAGATATTCGATTTGTCAATTGGAGAGATCCATAGACATCAATACATACTCGGATGCACAGTGAGCTGTCTGATGTATAGTGATTTAATTAATTAAGAAACGTCTGATATATATAGAGGTTCAACACGTAGGCTTTCGCGACCAATAGTATTAATGTGGATTCACGCTTCAACACACCGGTGGGCTAAAGCAGTGAACTATTTGTCTTTTGTCAACGTGACACTTTTTTGCTGATTGGCCGTGTCGGGTGGTGGAGGGTTACGACACATTTATAAATAACGCGATCTAACCCAAACACGTTGATTATGAATATATAGAGTTTGCATCTACATAGACTTCAGATATCTATCGAGCCGTATAATCTCTCTACATGGCCACAATTCTACAGCAGAACTTTACCGCGTGAATACGTGATTCGGAAATAGCCACGGAATATATCGCGGTCATTTTCGAACCTTGATTCTTGAGCCAGAGCAAGGCACGCCCGAGATTATTGTGTTCAGTGTTAATGCACGAGTCTCATAGAGCCAGAGACTAAAGCACCACTGAGGTTTCAGGGTTTATGCCTAATTATAAAGAGCCACATTCCTAGGTATATTTGTTCATGCCTAGTTCAACCAGATGATGTGCATCCTCTATTTAATTCGGTTTTGTATACTGTACTCTTAGGTTTTTTCGGTAAAGTCACGTAGGTAAAAATTATAATAAAATAAAATCATAATATATGAAAATAACTAAATTAAATTAAAAGCATGTTTTATTTTATTTTTACCTACGTGACTTTACCAAAAAAACCTAAGAGTATGAATCCTTGCAGTCACGAAAGCTTCAAATCTAGAATTTGTATACTGTATTTGTTTTTATATACGGTATTTGTAACAACAAAGATTCTTGAACATAAACCAGAGATGAGCGTGGTTGCATATAGTGCCCGTTACCATTGTAATCACTCCCGAGTACGAGACTGGCCGTGCAGTTTGTACCTGCAGGTCACAGACCTGTGTCTGCACAGGTGTGCACTCTGGCGTACAGTAGGAAGTGCCAAGGCTGTGACCTCTGCAGCTTGATTTATCCTTGCACGAAAACGAAATCCTTCACTGAAGGGGAAGTAACGCTCATTCTTTACAGATTAGTCACCGTCATCATGAGGTTAACCACGTTGGCATCCTGCACTGTCTGGTAAGGGTGCGTGACTGGGACGAGGAGGAAAAATCGTGCATACGCATGGATGCCGTCTCGAGGCCGTGGTCGTCGTTGTAACAGAGCCGCTTAGCTGAAATAAAGTCCCGCGTGTTTCCCCTCCGAGGTAGTTAACGAGAGCGATAATGATGGCTCGCTTACGAGGCGCACGACGAGGTGATGACGATGCACGGAGCACGGTGTCGTGAGGTGGCGTCACACGCAGTGATGCCATCGGGAGAGGGAGGGGTGACGCTTGGCCCTGGGTCACCGGTGCGGACGCGGAGTTGAAGCGTTTTGGCGCTGGCTTTTTCTCCAAGTTGTGGACAAGCCTTTGTCCCACTTTATACTCAAGTGTCATTCGTATTCGATCTCAGTCGTCACAGGAGTTATCGTGCTCTCCCTCGCCCCGTTACAGACTGGCAACTGGGACAGAGCTGATGCATTCCTGCTTTCAACCCGAGTTGGAAAGGGGAAACATAATGGTGCATTGCCGTTAACAGCAAAGGCACGGGGCCTTGGTAGTGTGAATGAAAGCTGTGTTGACGGTCCTCATTAAGGGAGAACTGGAGAGACTGTTGCAGCAACGGGGTGATGCAATTCGAGCTCCGGCCAAGAAATCCCCGCTCCTCCATTGCCGAACCTCAGAATTCCGCAGCTCCGACGGGAGGCAGCGGTTTCTTGCTGCTGGGCAGTGTCCACGTTGTGAGCAGTTCCCCTCCTTAACCTCCTTCCCTTCCTCTCTTAAAGCTCACGTCTTATCTCTTGCCCATTCTCATCCTGTTCCCTCCCCTCGCCCCTCCACTCTTTCCCGTTCCTCCCCTACTCTTTCGTGATCCCTAAGCATTCCTCTATCACTGTGATTTATCACGCCTTGTACACCCCTGCCGACTTCATCATTACATTCTGTCATCGTTTTGTAAGCCATGCCGAGCACCTTGAGTGAAGGTGCTCTGCAAATATAAATTAGATTATATCAACAGACGACAGGTCCGCCATGGGACTGAATACCTTTCATTTCGATTTATTGGCGTTTGCTGTTTTGGTGCCGTGTCTCCCCGTGTAGGTGCGATCAAGAGGATCAGTGATGGATGCCACCAACATGGATATCGATGATTCTTTGTACAGGTGAGCTCAGCACGTAGCAAATCGTTGAGCGCGCAAACCTCGCTTTGTTATGACTCGTATGGGTACTTTACACTTGTCATGTTATAAAACCTGTGTGTACGAATGAGAAAAATATTATTGTAAAATTACAGCCTAATTAAAAATAATAGAAATGGAGGTGATTTTAATTCCTGTCACTCGGAGGAAAGGAATATCTCTATTTTTGCTGGCTGGGCCTTTGGTGACGTAGCATTAACCTACTTGCACAGCTGGTTTCAAATGTCTACTATCGACCACATACATGCTGTCAATCAGATTGTAGAACAGAAACTAATACCATAATGCCTGAAATTTGCAAACCATACAAATGCATGTTATTCAGTGGTAATATATTCATTCATTCAAGTTCTCACAAACTAAGGCTTTAATAAAAAAAATAGATCGATTGAAAATATTAAAATAACTGTGAAGATGGAAAAGCTACACTGAGTTTGCGTTACGCGATGTGCAATCACTGCCTGGGAGCATGGTTGCTGCGGATGTCAAGTGTTGAGATTGGCTTTTACTGGTAGGAACCTCCTGGTTACACCAGCCCACAGGGATTATTGTGTCCGTCCGTCGTGCAGGGAGGGGCTGGGTGGGGAGGGAGGGGCCGTGTGGGGAGGGTGGGTGGGGAGGGAGGGGCGGGGTGGGGAGGGTGGGTGGGGAGGGGTGGGGAGGGGCTGGGTGGGAAGGGGCTGGTCCACCCCGTGGTGCCCTTATACAACTCAACGTGTAACCTACTCACGCCGGCTTGTGCCCGCCCTCACAGTCGGGCATATTTGCGGAATACACCACGCCGCCGTTGACTCTGGCCATTGACCGAGCAGCCCAAAGTTCCTACCAGCTCCCTCCGCAGGAATGTGTTCTGCCAGAGCAACGTTGGTTGTGGCACCGCAGCACCGTGAAGGATAGCATTGGTATGGCGAGGCCCAGCATTCGTCAGTGGATAGACCATGGCTGATGATGTTCGGAAGCTTTTTCGAGTTGAAATTATTATTGTAGGTTGACTCAGCCCATCATCTCTCTTCGGCCTATAAAGTTAGTACCACGTTGTGGGAAATGAACTCACACCTGCCATATGAATGTGGAATTTCCATCACTGGCTCAGGGCTGTAATTTGGAGATGAGCACCACCGCACTGCTCATTCGAGCAGAAAATCACTTTGATTCTTTTTGAAGCGACTATTAAAGACACCTCTTATTTGTAAGTTCACAGAAGCAGCAACTTTACAAAATATCATTGTAAGGTGATTCGGGGGAGAAAATAACTGCAGCTTAAGTCCTAAACTTTCACAGGGCAATCATAACACGTGGAGAAAGCGCTTTCCTTTAGTGTCCATATGCTCTTGAGTTCTCAAACAAACAACATCGCTTGTTAACACCGTCTGCAAGGTGCAGGGTAGGGGTGTCCCATTCACCGCTGAATCTCAGAATGCGCGAGCAGTTCAGCGTTAATTTTATGTAGAGAGGCGTAGCGTCGTTTTTAAAGACATTTTTCTCACTACAGAGAAACGTAGCGACACGACCGCACTCTATCATAGCTGCCTGCCAAACTGCCACACGCCCTCCTGCATGGCCTTGTGGGAGCCTCGGTACTGAAAAAGTTATTTTTTTTTACTTCTGGTTCCGTTCAAATGACGTATGTGTACGTCATCAGAATGGGAAAGGGTTAAAAACACAAAACACCACTGGGGTACTCCCCCCCCCCCCCCCCGTAGCTGTACACTGGGCCGGTCACGTTCATGACTCCGTGTGTGATTCTAGTGATGTGATGGTGTGATGTGATTGCGTGCGATCGCAGCCGGCAGCGCTATGTGCTGGACGACGATGCGATGCGGCAGATGGCACGCTCCAGCGTCTTCCTGAGCGGGCTGGGCGGGCTCGGCGTGGAGATCGGTGGGTGTCCCCCGTCACGACGCACGAGTTTTCCGTTTCTCTCGGGACGTAACGACGGCGCCGTCAGTCCGCGGCATTCGGCGTCCAAGCTAAATGATTCGTGTCAGCCTAGCGTCTTCGCTAAATTGACGAACGGAAGACGCATCCTGAGAAAACACATTCAACACCTCTTGTCAATATGCACGCAGGCTGTGTGTCTGGATTGCCCCTGACACAGGCTCCGTCCTTACCGAGACATTAACTTACTGATAGGCCTTCCGTTGTGGCGCTCCGGTGACATCTCTGCAACTTGGCTCTCTCGTACGTTTTAATGCATCAGTGCAGTGACATCACTAGAATGCTGTAATTGAGTGCCAGCACATGACCGGAGTCGCTTTTTTCATGAAGAAACATTCATATCAGACAGCCTGGAACGTACAGCGTAGGCACGAGGCGGCAAGAAAAAGCTCTTTGGGTGTTTTGGTTGTTTCTTCCTCGACAAGTCTACAACCAAGAACCAGTTGTGCACTTGTTGTTATTGTGTTTGCACAGAAAACCGACCAATGGCCGTGGAAGTGACCGTCAAAATGTTAGACGTAATCATAACAAATATGCAATTTGCTAATTGACTGTCATTTTGTTTTCCTGCAGCCAAGAATATTGTGTTGGCCGGCGTAAAGGTAATCGCATCAATTACTCTGTCATATGACACAATACAAATGTTGCTTTACACATCGTCCGAATGCGACCGCCTCAACGGAGAGTGTACAGAAAAGGTGGGCAGAATGAATTCGTAAAGAGAGGCAGTCATCTTCTTGGTTCTTTCGGTAAAGTCACGTAGAAGGGAAGTAATAAAATAATAAAAATAAAACATAATAAAATAATTATCACAACGTTTCGGCCACAACGCAAGCAGCCGTAGACAGTCAGACTGTCTACTTGACAGACCTGTTCTCCACCTGAAGACAGCTGCTTGCGTTGTGGCCGAAACGTCGTGAGAATTATTTTATTATGTTTTATTTTTATTATTTTATTACTTCCCTTCTACGTGACTTTACCGAAAGAACCAAGAGGATGAATCCCTGCAGTCACGAAAGCTTTAAATCGAGAGGCAGTCAGTTATGGGTTGAGGAAAGAAAGTCTTGCGCCGGGACTCGAAAAGGGGCAGGGGGTCGACGTGACAAACGTCTGGGGTCTTCTTGTTGTTGTCGTACGGCCGCTGATGTCGATGCAGAGCAACAACTACAATTTCACTTTCACGTGGTCCAGCCAGATAACTGCATCAGGAGCAGTATCTTCATCGCTGCGTTGTCTCCTTCGTATTTGTGGATCGTGGATTTGTGTTGTTATACGTTGTACGGTCTGTTCTGGATAACCACAGTCGCACACTACCAAAGAGTTTTTTTATTTTTAATTTGTGCATCGGGTATCCGCATCTCCTGCCACGGTTTGTGCAGTGGATGCGGTTTAGGGTGGACCACGAGCTTCGTGGAAGATTAAACCCAGGGATCTTCTCTGTTGGGTCTTTCACAAGCAGTGTTTGTTTGCGAGTTCTTTTGAACTCCATTCAGCTTTCCAAACTTCGTCAGGGTTGAATTTGCATGTCTGGGGTAAGGGAGTGCCAGCCGATGGGGGCAGCAGAGGAGAACCATTGATCTTTCCCACTGAGCGAAGGTTGGCTTAAGTGTGTAACTGCATGCTGCTGCAATTGGTTTTATTGCTGCACTAACGACCTCCTTTTCACGCTGTCCGGCCAGTTGCTGAATGTGCACGACACGAAATCGGCCACCATCGCGGACCTCGGAACGCAGTTCTTTCTCAGAGAAGATGATGTTGGGCGGAACAGGTGACGTTTTAAGGGATGCCGTTGCCTGCTTATTGGCTGTGCTTGGGAAATGCGTTCATCGGTCTGTACGCCTCAAAATCACGAAACCCTTTAACCAACCACAAAAAACCCATACCGCACGGCTGACCAACATCAACGTCTTGATTTAGATCGTTCTTATGCAATATTGACTAAATACATTTTAAAAGTTTTACGTGTCGTTAGGTAGCAAATATATTGCAATTGTGTTAAGAAGCGTGCCATGTGGGTGTTTGTCCAGTCGAATCCCTGAACTCCATGGAAGGACCCCTTAACAGTGTGGCTTGGCCAGTTGTTGATGACTATATTCTTTAATTCGTGGGGCATTTGTGTTTGATGTGAGCCGAGCCGTCGTGCAGACTCCTCGTAACCACCTACACAGCAAGGCTTTGGCCACGTTTTGTTGTTGATTTGTGATGATGTGTGTCGGGCAGGGCCGTGGCGTCTCTTGAGCGCTTGAAGGAGCTGAATCCGTACGTGAGGGTGCGCTCGTCAACCGAACCTTTGAACCACGACACCGACCTTGTCTTCCTGAAAGAGTACCAGGTAACAGCAGCGGCGTTGGCAAACGGCTCAGAAAAACGTGTTTCCTAAGAAGAACAAAAGTAAACCGATGAAGAAAAACCACGCTAACGCATGGATCCTGTAACGCTTTCCAACGCGAGTCTGTCCTCAAAGGGTATTTAATTGGCGATAATCACATCGCGTATCAAGCCGCACAACGAGAAGACGTCCCGTGGCACGTGACGTGTGACATCGTTGGGAGGGAAGGGGCACATATCCTGGCCAGGCAGGACCAATCCTTCGAGCGCTGGATCTCCTCGGAATCTTTTGGGCAGCCCTTTAAATACATTTTGTCGGTTATCCATAGAGTAAGTTCTGACTAGCAAGATGACTTAATGCCAAAGTTTAGTTGCTATTAGATCATCTTGGTAAGGGTCTATCATGCTCTCTTTTATAGACAAGAGGGATGGACAGAGTTCATGCATATTCCACTTTAGTTGGAAAGCATGTAAAAAATCTTTGAAATGTTTTTTGCTGTTATTATTGCGGGTTCAAAGTCGTCGTTCGTAAGCTTCAGCATGGAATTTCCTACATTTTATTCTCATGAGAAATTGACGTGTCATATCATTTTTATGATATATTTTTCCAGCATTGCACAGCTGAGAAGCAGCCCGACCATAAGTGTTTTTGTGAGTTGGAGGTTGATACAAGCAGACTTGGCAGCGTGCAGGCTGGAGAGTGCACATTCAAGTCTCTTGGCGGTGGTTGCATAACACCGAATGGCTCACAGGGTAAATCCTAATAAATTAGACTGAACCGTTATGTTTCGCAGATGCGGGATAGTTAATGTTTTGAAGCCCTAATTTATAATGTTTTAGACCCATGGGTCGAATGAGTGTGGGCGTGGCATGATTTGGCACTCGCTCACGGCTCTCGGTAAAACGCAAGCGATACGTGTGCTCGTGTTTTTGCTGATCAGCGTTCTAAAATATTACACTTTTTATTTTACCGGGTAAGGGCCCATTGAGCTTTCTAGCATTCTAGCAATTGTTCATAAGCGACCTGGCCGCAATTGTTAACTCAACAAAGTGGCTTATCACGTACAAATGTATTTCTGCCAAAAAACTCTCAACGCACGTTGATTCTAAATGTGGAGGGTTAAACTCGAGGACCTGGAGAAAAATCCACGTGACCACAGGGAGAACACGCAAACTGCAAATATACAGGTGTCAAGGTCGGGATTGAACCCACGACCTCCTGCGTATCTGGCGAGGTAGTTAACATCTCGCCACCATGGCGTGGCATGCTCCCTTCGGGTTGCCGTGATGTCGTTTTTGACGATAGAAAAATTATATCATTTTTCATGGTGCGATCATGATAGCGATACCAATTTGCTGTAACTTTCTAATTTCACGTCACATATTTCTCTTGTTTGTGTGCGGTTATGTACATCCATTGTGAGCAGAGGTCACTTAATTATTCTTCAACTGCGGTTCACTTAACACACGAAGTCTGTCACAGGTCTTATAATCATTGCAACTTTACTTTACAATCTATTACGCTTCATATCGCACATGCAGCCAGTTACGCAATAAATAAATGATCTACTGCAATAGCGTAGGCTTCTTGTTGTGATGCAGGAAACGAGCGTGTTTCACGGGTAATATACCTATTCATTTACAATGGCAATTATTGCGTGTTTAAGTTCACAATTATTTTGGTCCAAAATAAGATCTTTAAAACGCTGTAAAATAAGCAAAGATGTCACGAAACTGAGCAAAATTGACGGTACAATGATCTTGACGCGTGATAAGTTGTCAGTTATTAGCACATAAGCCACGCTCGTGGCCTTGTGGGTAGTTAACGCAGCAGCCGTCGCGTTCGCCGTTTTCCCGTGTCGCGTGATGCCTCCCACCACCACCACCCTTTCCTCTCCCTCCTCTCCTCAGTGCGTGGTCGTGACGGATTGCCCCCTCGCGCTGCAGTGCAAGCTGGACTCGTTTTGTCACTCCCAGGGGCCTCCCATTAAGGTACGAGGTGCCTGCACGCAATCGCCCATCGCCGATAGAGCGCGCGGTCGTCAGGTTTTGCCTGGATTCCATCCCGTTCCATCCGTGCGGTCACGTTACCTTTTTGACACAAAGCGAGCGATGCATTGCTGTATTACTTTTTGGGCAACAACAACAATAAGTAATATTTTAAAAAACTTGTTTAAAAACACGCTTTAATGAAATGTACTCGTAATGGCAGAACTCCACAACTCCAGGAAGTGGCCCCGAAGCTTGCCATAACGTAAGAGACCGTGGCCAATTACAGCCAACGTCTGTTGAGCATGGACAATTATACCCAAGCCGAAACATAACGTTTTATAAAGAATGTTTAAAATCTTATATATTTTTATGATAGAATATAGTATTGTCATCAGTATGACATAAGTATACCAAGTTTGCAGTCGATACCACATTGGGAAGTGGGTTAAAATTGAGTTACAAGATTTGAGGATACAACAACAACGACAATAACAACAACAGACAGAGTGAGTTCATAAAAAGCGTGTAAAAAACAATCTCCATTTACGAGCACAAGTTACCTTTTTGGGGCGCCACGGTGGCGAGATGTTAACTACCTCGCCTGGTATACAGCATGTCGTCGATTCGATCCCGACTCCTGGCACCTGCTTATTTGGAGTTTGCACGTTCTCTCCGTGGTCGCGTGGATTTTTCTCTGGCCGCTATATTTTTCCACATGACGATAAGCCGCTTTGTTGAACTATATTTTGTGGCCAGGCCACTTCTGAAAAAGAGCTGTGGGCCTTACCTGGTAAAATAAAGCACAGTTTGCTTTAGTTTGATAACTCACATGGTGAGCCAAAATTATTTGACAAAACGGCACATTACAACTCATCCTCATGTGCCCTTCATGGTTTGATGCATTGTCACGATTCAGGGTTGTGATTGAAGGCAAGAATCGTTGAGGCTGTTTTGGGCCCTTGTGCTGCCTGTTGAGACGATCGTGGCTGCCAGTTGTACATGAGCCTGAACACTTCCAATAGACCATTCATAAAAAATGTATAAGAATCAGAAATAATATTAATTTGAACCAGGTCTGTATCTCAAGATGTCCTGCATTCAGGGCATGATACAAATAAAAAAATATTAACGATAATGAACATATTTCCGCACCTGGCACACTACATCCAGTATACCGCTCGCTCTGTCTGTCGCTTGCCTGCTCCAGTCTCGTTCGGGAGAGACCCAGAAAATATTAGGTGAAAAAAATAACAGCTATTAAATGAACGATTTTACATAGCTATATACACACACACACATGTATTGTAAAAGTGAGAGTTAACTCTAATTTATGAATTGTGTCAGATGCTTGCTTGCTGGTACCAACAATGCTTGAAGAAGATTGTGGAAGGGCATCATCCCATTCTAGATTTGAAGCTTTCGTGACTGCAAGGATTCATACTCTTAGGTTTTTTCGGTAAAGTCACGTAGGTAAAAATAATAATAAAATAATGAAACATGAAAATAACTACATTAAATCACAATTTAATTTAGTTTTTTTTTTTTACCTACGTGACTTTACCGAAAAAAACCTAAGAGTAGGCATCATCCCATCCCAGAGCACGTAAATAGTAATGCCGTAATGACGTGTCCGTCTGAGACGGCAACGGCGAGCGTGCTGCGTCGTCGCCCAGACTAAGCGACGCTCCGAACCGGTATCGGACAGAAAGTTTGGAGAGAACGCCCAGAAGGCCGAGCGTGTTGCATTGCGATTTTTTGTTGTTGTTGTTTGCGGCCGGCCGTAGTTTATCAGCACGGACGTGCGGGGCGTATTCTGCCGCATCTTCTGCGACTTTGGAGAGCGTTTTGAGGTTTTGGACCCGACTGGGGAGGCGCCCAAGGAATTCTTCATCCAGAGTATCTCGCAGGTCAGTCACCGCCCCGTGGTGTCACACCGACACGGCTGCCCAGAGGGACGGGGATAGTGGGGAGGGGCTGTTGCAAAGGGGGCAAATAACCGCACACAAAAGAGTGGCCTCAGACCAGGGCTTATATTTTGGTTGCTAATCAATAAGGGGGCCCCACGTGGCATTGGGCCTCAGGCCTTACAGAACTCCTGCTCACTGATATGTGTCACAGGTGGCTGAAGACGTCGATTGATGCCTCGTACGCTTTTTTTGTGAGCACGTAACAATTCATTGTAATGAAGAACTTTGAACTTTCGCAGACATTACAGATATTCTTGAGAAGCTGTAAGGGAGGTGAGACTTACGAGTTTTGGGCGTGTGTTGAGAAGAGACAAATAAGATGCATACTCGCACAGAAACCTAGAGATTCACATCAAGGTCCATGGACTCGCAGAGAGACATGAATCCCTATAGAGCAGAGGTGGGACAAAGTCATTGTTATGCAAGTCCAAGTCGAGTCTCAAGTCATCAAATTCATGACTCGAGTCTGACTCGAGTCCAAGTCACATGACTCGAGTCCACACCTCAGAGGTGGGACAAAGTCATTGTTATGCAAGTCCAAGTCGAGTCTCAAGTCATCAAATTCATGACTCGAGTCTGACTCGAGTCCAAGTCACATGACTCGAGTCCACACCTCTGCTATAGAGACTCATGGACTCGCACAGAGATGCCACCGCAATGAGTAGAGGGAGAGCGAGGGTGAGGTGGGAGGATACGGTGGAACGAGATACGGGGCACAGTGGATGTGACGAGAGAAGAGGCACGGAGTAGAAATTCGTGGAGGGAGGAAATACCCATCGGGCAAAGACGGTCCCTGCGTCGCGCGCTTTCAGATGCGCTTCTGCACTTTCAAATCTGGATTGAAAACTCGTTATTTAGAACTGCTTCTTGTGTTTAGTCTGTTTTTCTTCCCCCCGCACCTGCGATTTGCACGGTAGGCTACGTATGGTGCGATAGAAGTTCAACATGCATACATACAAATTCGAACAGCTGCCCCCATGCAATCAAGGGACTTGAGGCTTCAAAGAAGAAGATAATGGTGTATTTTGTGTTGTTTAGTAACCTCTCTACGTATGTTTTTAAATACACTTCGAAGTGCAAAATTGAGTGTAGTTGTAGTTTATTTTTTAAAGTTCTATTTGTAATGTTCCTTCTGTAAACTTTTTAATTATATCCTTCAACTGTGATTGCATAGCATCAATATTACTGTTTCTCAAAGGGGAGCTGTGCAGGGCAGTATTTGGCATCTCAAACGATGAGCGCACGCAGCAACTCTAGGTTGTGTGGCGGCACTTGTCTGCGCGAGTGGGCGGTGCGCTATTTTGTGGCGGTGTGGGTGAAATTAAATAAACGGCAGCAGATGGAGACGGATGAAGGGGGCTCTTGGGGTTTGTCATTGGGGGGGGGGGGGGGCAGTGGGGGTGACGTGGGCGACGGTGCTGGTCAGGATTTGATAAATTGCCTAGGGCTGTGAAGTTTACTGGGAGAGCGAGTAAGGCGTTACCGGGTTGGGATAACTTCAAACCACAACTCATTACCTACGCTTCGACCATTGCCGCCTCCCTGATTGTGGGCGGGTGTGGTGCGTCTGTCCCGCTTGCTGTGCTGCAGTCCAATCCGGGCGTGGTGGTGACGATGGACAACCGTGCCCACGGCCTCGAGACCGGCGACAGATTGACATTTAAGGAGGTTCATGGGATGACCTCTCTCAACGGCTGCACGCACACGGTCACAGGTACGAGGGCTGCCCCCTGTAGACGGAGACATCAGCGGCCCTTCTCTCGCGCGGTCGTGTGATGCTGCACGCACCCACTTCTCTGCAACATCATGTGACCTCCCTGTCCTTTTGGTGTGCGGGTTAATGTAGCGTGGTGAAGAATGGCCCTCATCCAGCAGTACTCCCAATGCTGCGAAAACGTTACCATCATGCAAGGGGACCTCAATCGATGATCGGAGGTGTACAGACCTTTGTTCCTGGCTCAAGGCCTCTCCTCGCCACATCAGTTACAGGGATTGCTTGACGATGCTTAAAACCGCTGGTCAGTGCGGTTTGGTGAAGGGAAACCGGTTTCAGATATTACTCGCCACTGATGTGAGCCATCGCTGGGATTTGAATTCGGGTGGCCTGACATCACGGGATGCTAACCGACACGCCGTCTATTTACAGCTCTATTAAAATCGCACGGACACTTACGCCTGTTGTCGAGTGATGACAACTTCCCACGTCAGTGTTGTTCGTTGTTAAATTAAAGTGATCGTAACGGCAGAGGTGGCTACTTCTGAGTGGACACTAAAAGCCGGCACTGCTGAGATCCTAGAGTTTAATGCAGACAGCCCGCACCCATGATGAAACTGGGTTCTCAAGGGAAGCAAGTTCATGTCAGTCCGGTCAACAATGACTACACATTTTAATTTAAAGCTTTCGTGACTGCAGGGATTCATATTCTTGGTTCTTTCGGTAAAGTCACGTAGAAGGGAAAAAAATAATATTTTATTGTTTTATTATTTAATTTTTTTCCCTTCTACGTGACTTTACCGAAAGAACCAAGAAAATGACTACACGTTAAATTAGTTTTTTGGGTTATTCTTTCATACTTAATTCTACAAATTGGAATGAAACTCTTCACGCTGAGTGCCGTGTCAGGGACATTTTGCAGGGCAATGTAAGAGGTGTGCCCCTGGCGCGTGGATGCAACGGGCTCGCTGTGAAAGAGCTTCACAAACTAATCCTCTGACGTCTTTCTCTGGGGCTCCACTTGGACCCAAAGTGGTACACCGCTCTCTCTCTCTGACGATTCGGAATGGATATTTATTCTTGTCATGATTCTGATAACACGATTATAATATCATCAGCAGCAGCAACTTCTTCTTATGATGGAGTGTTTGATCAGCAACATCATCATCATCGGCCATGAGCAATTCCACTGCCTGATGAAGGCCACCCCAAGACTTCGCTGCTTATCACCATCCTGCAATGCACCCATCTTTGTAGGTTGGCTACACGTGACACACGCTGACTTGCGCACTCTGCGTTGCAGTGCTCTCCCCGTACATGTTCAGCATCGGCGACACGTCCGGCCTGCCCGCGTACCTGCACGGCGGCATGGCCAAGCAGGTCAAGGTGCCCAAGATGGTGCACTTTGTAAGTTCCCGTCTGTGTGCGAGTGTAATTGTGTGTGTACGTGTGGCCGTACGTGGTGGTGGTGATGGTGGGGAGCGGTAGTGTAGAGGTTAGCGCGCTGCGCTACGAACCCGGCGACACGAGTTCCATTCCCGCTCACGGCCAACACTACTGACTATTATCTGATCCCATTTTGGGCCTCCTCTAGGTCGACTCGGCGTCAAATGAGTACCTGGTGCGGTGTGTAAACATCGCCACTGGGGAGACAAAGGCGGCCAAGCGTGGCGCTGGCCACCCACCCCCTCGTGTGCCGTGCCGGCCTTCATAGGTGCTCGCTGACAGCACTTGCTCCCAACGGTCTGTTAAGGCTACACGGGAGGATCTTTGTCTTTGTGTGTAGGCGCATGTGTGTGTACATGAAGTTAAGTGGGAACCATAGACGTGGAAACCTTTAAGTACAGTACAACCATGCATTTTCCCGTACTACCATTTGCTACCCACAGCAAAGCCCCGTATCCTATAACACCTGTTATGCACGGTGGTCACCCAAGCACTATCCACGATGATTTGGTTATGTAGCCACATATAAAACACACTGCGTACTGCCTCTTGTTAAGTTGTAGTGATGGATATTACGTTTTGAAGATTATTTAAGGACACGACTTTGAAGATTGCAAAACGACAATGTAGCCCCGGCTGCGTGTTTGCACCCAGTACGTTTGAACAAGCCACGTCGTGTTTTCTTTTCAGCGATCGTCTTGAGAATGTTACGAATTAAGTGGTGACGTGTGGCTTTTAAACCTCGGTCACATGAGCGTGATGAATAAAAGCCAGTGGTGCGTGTGTCCTGCGCGTGCATTGCTTGTGCGTGTGATCGCCCATTGCAGGAATCGCTGGAAAAGCAGCTTGTGAAGCCCACATGTCTCGTGGTGGACTACAGCAAGCCAGAGGTGAGTCTCACTTCTCGAGACAGCGACCCAAGCAAAGTCCGTTCATCGCCCGAGTCTCTTGACTGTGGACAGTAAAGCAATTAGGTTGTTAATCTACGATCGAACTTTTGGTCAACTTTTGTTGCAAACATTATCGATTCCAGTAAGCCATGTAATCACTCATTGAGTGCAATTTAACGTTGGTAACAATTAAATCCGTTTGCACGCGCGAACGTTCAAACCACACGGCGGCGTTCCTGTGCGATGGATGGGTGAGCGGCGCGTGTCGTAAGGACACCTGGCGAAGGCCTCATGGGTCACCGCGTGGTACGTTTCAACAGACGCAAAGACACAGGGGACTCGAAGTTGTTTTGCTATGCATTTTTATACGTGGTGAACTGATAAATGTTTACATTTTCCTCGGCACGAGTTTATTGATAATGCCAGCAAACGCCATTTGTTTAACGACAACCCAAACAAAAACTCCTGAATATCTCCACAGTGTGTACCGACTTGAGACATCGACTACTTGCACCCTGTCCCTACAGGCCCCTCTGCAGATCCACTTGGCGCTGTTGGCCTTGGAACACTTTGAGGAGCAGCATAAGAGATTGCCGACAGCCGGGTATGGGATTCCACTCGCTGTCTTCGCAAAGCAGCATGTGGGCTGCGTTAGACGCTATTAGACGCACGCCCACGGTACTGCAAAGTGACAATGACCACGCGTGTTGCATCACGCTGCGTGTGACCCACGCGCGTGGTTTAAAGGTCGGCGCTGTGCTTCACGTACACGCGCTTGTGTCCACACTCGCAGCTAATCGCACGAGAGCACGCTGGCAGAACAAGACCAGTGCACTCCCGCGAACTTGTACTGAATAACACTCGCGCACCGGCTCGAACATGCAGACGCACTATCGCACATCATGCGCACATGCACACATGCTCACTCATGTATTTAAGAGCAAGTGTCTTTATTGTTTTCAGTCATCCCGCAAGTCGTTATAAAGTCACGCGACTCTGTGGGGGATTGCTTAGTTTTTTAAGAGTGTGTGTATGTGGTGTGTGTGGATGTGGTGTGTGTGGCTGGGTGGCTCACAGGTGCGCTGATGATGTGAAGACGCTGTGCAGCTTGGCAGAAGCGGAGAGTGAACGTCTCTGCGACAAGGTAAGGGGCATCGGCTTCACTCGAACCCGGAAGGTCGCCCCGGGTGACGCAACGAGCGGTTCATTGCAGCGGTGTGCAGAGCACGCAGCCTCTCCTCCTGAAGTTAAATAATGTAATTTATTCGCGCATGTAAGTTGCACTAAGCCTCAAGACCTTTTCAGTGGGATGTCTTTGACACTTACATTTTACAAAGTCTTTTGGAGTTTTATGAGACGGTGACGCATTGTAACGGTGCGTGTTCAGCGTTGTGTGAAAAGTGGTCACCAATGGCAGAGCCACGTTATGGCAAAAACGTATTGTGTGAACATGCATTAAGCGAGGGTTTGCCGTACATTTATATATTTTTTTATTCTAATTTGTAATTGGAGTACCAGGAGAAAACCAAAGGCGTGAATTGACTGGCCTCCAAACCGCTGTGCTGCCATCTCCTGGCCACCTCATATCCCGGCAGCTTTAGGAGTTTCACAAATCCCCGTGAGCCACCAACCTTAACCTCTGAAGGGCTGTATCACCATACCCGTCTCCTCACTATTCAAGGGCTGCATCGAGTCTGGAGGAGTGTTCAGCTGAGAACCGTCAAACGGAATCTTGGGGCGTCTCTATCTAAATGTGTGCAAAATATGCTTGGGAGTCCCACGCACATTTCCGTACCGGACGCCGTGCCTGCCATGGCTTCAGAGATTTGGACGAGGGGGCTTGTGTTAGCACCAAATGCCTCCCACGTGCACCCCGCGCTGGGCAACAGCCTCGCGGAGTTAGATTGTCAAAGAGGGGGATTGGCGCTAGGACACCGCACCGGAACGCTCTGGGCGGTCTCCATTATCGATGGCGCCGGCCTCGCTGCGATAAGGACTCATTCGTTGGGGGGACGCCCTATCCTGGACCCCCCCCCCACCTTCCTGTGAGTCTGGAACACAGTGTCCTTGAAAGATAAATTGTCGGGCAGTGGCTCGGGGAACTGAGCGGCGGCCACGAGTGTAGAAACTTCCTTTCAGGGTCAGCTAAGCACGCAGTCGGTTTTCTCGACCAATATCATCCATAATAGAGTTTTTTTTGGGTTAGATGGCGTAGATATAAAAGTGTCGTTAAACCCGCAACCACCCGACACGGCCAATAAGTAAGGTTTGTAAACAAAAAGTGCCAATCAGTTACTAGTACAGCACACCGCTTGTGCGTTGGAAAGTTAAACCCACCACAACATTTACAATTCGAGTACTGTGACGTTTCACCGGTGATTACAACAGCGAGCATCATCAGGCGACAGCCAGAGTTGTTCACGATGTGGTCCCGGATGCCGGAGTGGGTGACGTGTTGCGCTTGCATCACCGGTTCCTGCCCACTGGGATGCCGGCACTCAAATCTGCGTCTGAATAATCCACTTTCTCAAAATACCACTCGGCGCATTTGGCCTTTAGATGTTTCTGTTCCAATTTCCTATATGTCTGAGATGCATTTAATTGTCTCACCCCTCCCCCCTTGTAAATATCAAAGCATTTGAATTCCATCTGCTTTTTCTTCAGCGTTATCATCTCAGCCGCTGTTGACGCGATGGCTACAACATTCTCACCTGTCCAGGGTGATCTATTCGTAGATGCCCTGCTCATTTCTAATACCCCTTCTTGCTTTCCTCTCAACACAAGATTACATTTCGATTTAAAGCTTTCGTGACTGCAGGGATTCATCTTCTTGGTTCTTTCGGTAAAGTCACGTAGAAGGGAAGTAATAAAATAATAAAAATAAAACATAATAAAATAATTCTCACGACGCTTTGGCCACAACGCAAGCAGCCGTCCTCAGGTGGAGAGCAGGTCTGTCGAGTAGAGAGTCATTCAGACTCTGTCGAGTAGACAGAGTCATTCAGACTCTGTCGAGTAGACAGAGTCATTCAGACTCTGTCGAGTAGACAGAGTCATTCAGACGCTGTTTACTCGACAGACCTGCTCTCCACCTGAGGACGGCTGCTCGCGTTGTGGCCGAAACGTCGTGAGAATTATTTTATTATGTTTTATTTGTATTATTTTATTCTTTCCATTTTACGTGACTTTACCGAAAGAACCAAGAAGAAGATTACATTTTTGTTTAAACGATGGCTCCATATGTCACAGCAGGGGAACAGATTTATGGAGGAACGAGCGTTGATGTACTAAGTGGATGGCGGCTGCTGGGAGACACGTCGAGGCTTTTTAATCAACCGGCATTTTTCTTTCATCTGTAATTTCTCCCGATTGTAGTGTTTTAGCGGGGCTATATCAATGGATCTCCCTGCATTCAAAAGTTGCCACGCGGCGTGGTTGCAAGCGGCCGCATCTTATGACTGCGTTCTGGCCAGCTCGGTTTGTGGTGCCACTATTATCTGAAGCGGTTATCTAAGCGGTTATTTGAGCGGTTATCCGGAGCGGTTATCTGAGCGGTTATCTGAGCGGTTATCTGAGCGGTTATCCTGAGCGGTTATCTGAGCGGTTATCTGAGCGGTTATCCGGAGCGGTTATCTGAGCGGTTATCTGAGCGGTTATTTGAGCGGTTATCCGGAGCGGTTATCTGAGCGGTTATTTGAGCGGTTATCCGGAGCGGTTATCTGAGCGGTGATCCGGAGCCCCCCTGTGTTGGCGGTGGTGCTGGTGCGGTTGTGCAGGTGAGCGTGGAGCGGCGGGTCGTGGAGTGTGCGGCGCTGGTGGCGGGAGGGCAGCTGGCTGCGCTCACCGCGGCGCTGGGCGGTGTCGTGGGACAGGAGGTTCTCAAGGCGCTCACCGGGAAGTTCGGTCCCATCCAGCAGTGGGTAGGTGTCCACTCACCACACCAGCGGTGTCCACTCACCACACCAGCGGTGTCCACTCACCGGCGGTGTCCACTCACCAGCGGTGTCCACTCACCTCACCGGCGGTATCCACTCACCACACCGGCGGTGTCCACTCACCACACCAGCGGTGTCCACTCACCACACCAGCAGTGTCCCCTCACCACACCAGCAGTGTCCACTCACCACACCAGCGGTGTCCACTCACCACACCGGCGGTGTCCACTCACCTCACCGGCGGTATCCACTCACCACACCGGCGGTGTCCACTCACCACACCAGCGGTGTCCACTCACCACACCAGCGGTGTCCACTCACCACACCGGCGGTGTCCACTCACCACACCGGCGGTGTCCACTCACCACACCGGCGGTGTCCACTCACCACACCGGCGGTGTCCACTCACCAGCGGTGTCCACTCACCACACCAGCAGTGTCCCCTCACCACACTGGCGGTGTCCACTCACCACACCGGCGGTGTCCGTCCACCCAGCGACCACCTTTTATAAGCATCGATATTAATCGATTAATTTGCCGTGCCATTTACGTGTGCCTGTCGTTAGCCTAACATACGCGCGTCTGCGTTGTTGCTTTTCAATGCCTTGCGTTTTGTTTTGCTCCCAGTTGTACTTCGATGCCATGGAGGTGGTTGGGAACCTTGAGAATGTCGACAGCGAAGGGTTCAAGGCAAGGTGAGTTGGGAGGAGCCGTCGTTTGCACATATGTCGGAGCGGCTGAACCCGACACGTTCGCCGCGGACCTTTTCGCCCACATCCCTCGCCAGTGGTGTCATGGTTCGCCCCTTCCCCTTGCGCTCCAATGCCTTGTCGCCGTTTTAGTGGTTGCGATTCAGAGTATTTGGCTGCTATAAATGTCCTCTTCATTGGGCTGTCATTTGTGATATCCAGGTCGCTTCTGAAAAAGAGGTGTGCGGCTCAGTGGGCCCTACCTGGTAAAATAAAAAAGTTTTGTAACGGGCGACGCACGAAATGCGTATCATGTGTGCTGCCTGCTCCGGGCAGTTCGATCCTTCCAGCTCCCCTCTGTACCCAGCTGGGCGCTGGCTCGTTTCCTTGTTCACGTTTGAAGGCTTGTCGGCCACCTTGAGCCCGCCGCCGTTCACCGTCGTGGTACTGCGGTGTGTATTGAACAAACATTCTCAAGCGACATCCTCTCAAACGAACATCGAGGCGGGGCGCATCTCCCATTTTATAGCCCTGAGCCAGCGGTGGAAATTCCACCTTCCTATGGCGGGCGCCAGTCTATTAATAGAGCAACCTCCGCTGACTTCCACGCAAAGTGGTACTCGTTTTATTGACCCCAGGGGGATTATGGGCTTTGTGACCTCGCAACCTCCTGATGGTGCGAGCCGATAGCTGAGCCAACCGACGGTTTATCATTGTAATGAGCGGAGCGGCGTCTGCCGTCTGATCAATGTACATGAACGTATTACGTACGTATGTATGTATTACATTGCATATGAATCGAAAAGCCTGGCTCCGGCCACATCAGTCACTAAAATAGCCATTTCTTCTGATGACCAGGGAGCCGCGCAGAGGCGACGGTGATTGTTTTATCTGTGGAATTGTGGGAGAGAAAAGGTTGAAACTTTACTCGTGTCAACAGTATTGTATTTACAGCTCCCACCAAGTCAATTGTCAGATGTGTAAATTACGTTGTTTTTTCTCTTTTGAAAATCCCTACTGGCGCAGGGGGGACCGCTACGATGCCCTGCGTCTCTGCGTGGGCGAGGCGGTGTGCGAGAAGCTCCACAAGCTCTCCGTCTTCATGGTGAGGTCTCGCGCAACAACGGCGCTGCAGAGATTCTCGGGTTTTGTCATTCCGCAGCAAGCAGTTGGGCACAGTGGATATATGCTGACGATGATGATTACAGCGATGATCATGACAATGATGATGACGTTGCCGTTGACAACAGTGGTGATGAAGATGGTGCTGATACCGATGATGATGACAACGGTGTTGATTATGACAATGATGATGATACCGATGATGATGACAACGGTGTTGATTATGACAATGATGATGATACCGATGATGATGACAACGGTGTTGATTATGACAATGATGATGATACCGATGATGATGACAATGGTGTTGATTATGGCAGTGATGATGTTGCCGATGACAACAGTAATGAGGAAGATGCTGATGGCATCGATGATGATGATGACAACAGTCATGTTGGCAATCATGATTATCATGGTGAGTAAGATGACAAGGATGATGCTAATGCTGGCAACAGTAATAATGCTGACGAGGTTGACAATATTTTATGGTGATGACAGGGATTTTTTACGATAATGAAAGAGACGGTTGAAGGAGCTGCGGGCTGTTTGATGCGTTTGTTCTGCCTGCTGCCACGCGTGAAGGTGCGAACGTTGTTGTTCGGCAGGTGGGGTGCGGTGCCATCGGCTGCGAGATGCTGAAGAACATGGCCTTGCTGGGTGTGGGCACCGACCAGGAGCACGGTGGCCTGGTAAGAACCTATATTCTTTGGGTCTGTCGGTAAAGTCATGTAGATAGGTTCGAAGAAAACAAAAAACTATGACGTTTCGATCACAACACAAGCGGTCGTCATCAGGAGGAAGAAGCCTTCCATCACAACACAGACGATCGCTTGTGTTGCGATCGAAGCGTCGTAGTTTTTTTGTTAATTTCTCTGAACCTATCTACGTGACTTTATCGAAAGTCCCAAGGAATATGAAATTCCTGCAGTCACGAAAGCTTTAAGTCATGGTAAGAACCTCTTCTCGGTTTTCTGCCACTGATGAATGAAGCAGACCGCTTCGTTCGTCAGCCTGTGCCAACACCGGAGCGGGAGTATACGTTACTGCCGCGTACTTTGGGGGTGTCTCGAATGTTATAGGGTGCTTTTTTTCTGGAAGATTTTTACTGTTTTTTCCTGGACGTTTCTGTTGCGAAACGTCACTTTAAGATGTTCTTTGTTCATGATTTGTTTGTTGCGGTTGCACGCGAGTCAAGAGCCTCACGGCTCACAGGGCTATACCTAATAAATGAAACTGAAATGTTCATTTCATGAGACTGAACGTGCGATGCTTGTGAATTGTGACGTTTTTTGCAGGTGACCATTACAGACCCCGACCTGATCGAGAAGTCCAACCTCAATCGTCAGTTCTTGTTTAGGTCTCACCACATACAGGTAACCACGACTTCCGGGGGTGGGGGAGGGGGGGAGGGGCAGGTCTAACCACGGTTTAACTGCTGTGGACTTCCCACAAAGCAGCACTCATTGTATATTGACCCGGATCCGACCCCAGACCGGGATGTGACTTAACCCAAAACTCCCTTGTGAATATGAACATGACTCGCGTTGTCTTGACGAGTTGTTACCCATCTGGGCACATTCAAATCTACCCCTCGTGCTACACATGGCAACGACTGCAATGTGTGACGATGACGATTACGGCGAAACAACAACAATAATAACCGGCACGTCAAACGCTTGTACGCCACGTGACGGTTAAATTTGTTTGGCTGTGTCGGGCGGCATCGGCTCTTTGGAGACAAAGTTGCCCAGGTTCATCGCGCGACCTAACCCATGAATCAATTACCAATCCCAACATCGGCCGGAAGTCCCCGATGCGTTAAGCGTTGGAAGTTGGTTGCGACGTTGACGACGCGCTGTGACCGTGAGACGTCGCGACGACGGCGCTCCCATCCGCAGAAGCCGAAGAGCACGACGGGGGCGACGGTGGCGCGCGACATCAACCCGCAGCTGCACGTGGAGCCCCGCCTGGACCGCGTGGGGCCCGCCACGGAGGCCACGTTTTCCGACGACTTCCTGTGCCGCCAGAGCCTGGTGCTCAACGCCCTGGACAACGTGGAGGCCCGGCGATACATGGACAGGTACGCCATCTCCCCCCCTTCCCACCTGTGCCTGCCCCCCCCTCCCTGTCACTCTCGCACGTAGCCCAAAGTGCAGGGTCAGCACCAGCAAAGTCTGGACCGTGACCACCAGCAGTAGGCCGCGCTACCTGGGTAGCACTGACCCGAGGCTGTCGCACCAGCAGCAGACACGAGGTTGTACGCTCAACAGTAACCCAGGCTGTAGGGCCAGCATAAAACCAGGTCCTCTTTCCAGCAATAGCCTAGAGTGTAGCGGCAGCACCAACATTTACCTCGACGAGTCTTTCTCAACTCCGCCCCCACCACAGTTTCGTCTTTTCATGATGACCAGTCTATGTATTCATTAATCCACTGCACACTGCGCACACCTGATGGTTGGTAGCATTGGAGAGCAGTAACGTGGAACCAGTGTTATTACTGGGTTGGCACAAGAGGATGTAGGGTCTGTATCGGTAACAAGTGTGATTCCGTAGCTGCCGTACGTAGTCATCGTAATGCACATACTACACAGTTACACCAAATCCAGTTACAATGTATAATATCGGTGATAACTACAATGTTATTAACGCGTCGACGATGCTGCGTACACCGCACTGCTGACTTGTACCCATTCCTGGTTGCTGAATGTTTAGTCGAGAAGACTGCCAGCCACTGCCGAGGTGGCTATCACCACGACGCACAATGGACCCAGCACTAACGTCCCTTTAACCAGGGCTCTCTCTCGCTCTCGCTCTGTCTGTCCCCCGCACACACAGCCGCTGCGTCTCCAATCAGAGGCCGCTCATCGACTCGGGCACCATGGGCACCAAGGGTCACGTGGAGGTCGTGGTGCCTCACCTGACGGAGTCCTACAACAGCCAGGTGGCACAACCCCCGAGTCCGACTCGCCCACCCCGCTGTCGGTGCCAGGCCTCCCACTGACCCGTACCACTTTGACTCCTCCGTTCGCTTGCTGGCGCCTTGCGCTCGTGCGCTGGGGCCCCGAGTCACTCGGCGGGTGCTTCTGTTGTTGCAGAGGGACCCGCTGGATGAAGAGGTTCCATTCTGCACGCTCAAGTCCTTCCCGAACGTCATCGAGCACACCATCCAGTGGGCTCGCGACAAGGTGTGTACGTCGAACTTATTTCGCAGCGTACGTACGTAGCCAGCCGTGCCAATCGGAGATTCCAGGGAGGCGAATGCCAATGTGTCGTTAACACACGCCAAAAAAAAACCTTTACTGCGGACAATATTGGTCGCGGTAGCCTCCGTGTTTGAACGGGGTGGTGACCACCCGCCTGGCCTTGACCGCGTGTCCCCTTACTGAGCCGTGTCGTCTGGGAGAGGAGGACGGAGTAGGGGGGGGGGCTGGGGTGGTGGCGGGGGGCTGGGGTCGGGGGGTGGGGGCTGGGGGTTGGGGTCGGGTGTGGGGGGGCACGTTAAATGTGCTCAACATGCAACCCCTGAACGCTCTCCTGTCCAAGTCCCCTGGTTCCCGGCTTGCGTGTCGCGTTGCGGGGCGCTCGTAAATCATGCAGGAGCGGCTCCCCGCCCGCCATGGCAGCGGGCGGACGACGAGAAGCAGAGTGGCGTCGGCCACGAGAGGAACGATAAATTCGCTCGGAAAGGGCACGGGGCGCACAGGAGGGGGGTCACCTTACCGATGGGCCGTGTTCAGCTCGGCAGTGCCGCGTTCTATAATTAATCGTGACGGCACAGGGGAGCGCGCCCGGTCATGGTGAACCACCGCTCACGGTCCGCCTACGACATGGTCTCTCTGCATCATGCGATCTAGCCGATCTCGGAAGCTAAGCAGGTCCGAGCCTGCTTAGTACTTGGACCTGAGACTGCCTGGCAATGCCAGGTGTTGTAGGCTTGAGCTGCGAGGTGGCCAGGAGATGACAGCACGACAATGGTTCTAAGTCATCGTAGAGGTGCATAAGTTCTGCCTCTGGATTGAAGCTATCCGTGGGGAGTGGTGCGTATTGTCTCCTCTGGTTTCTCTGCAGTTCTTCCGCTTGAAGCCGAATGACCATTAAAAGAATTGGCCTAGGATTTCAATGTTGATATTAGCTTCTTGACACGGAATTTTGCGACTCAGTGAGGCATTAAATTTTGATTTAAAGCTTTCGTGACTGCAGGGATTGATATTCTTGGTTCTTTCGGTAAAGTCACGTAGAAGGAAAATAATAAAATAATATAAATATAAAACAATACAAATTCTCACGATGTTTTGACTGCAACACAAGCAATCATAATCAGGTGTGAAATTCACAAAAAAAACATTTCTTGCTGTGAATTTCACACCTGATGATGATTGATTGTGTTGCAGTCAAAACGTCGTGAAAATTTGTATTGTTTTATATTTTTATTATTTAATAATTTCCCTTCTACGCGACTTTACCGAAAGAACCAAGAATATCAGTGAGGCATTGTTTTGTATAATTAAAGGACATTTTTTGTTAATTGTGAGGGCTTTATAAGAACCTGGTTAAAGAGCTTATCATGTGACCATGCTGTCGGGAGGAGCTGACCAAGAGCTATTTTTTGCGTTACAGTTTGAGAGTGCCTTCACCCACAAGCCCTCCATCTTCTCCAAGTTCTGGGAGAGTCAGCGGTCCCCCAAGCTCTTGCTGGAGGTGCGTATCCGCTCTGCTGTCTTGGACCGTGGTGATCCCTGCTGTGACATCCGAACGACCGTTTGTGAAAGACTCACGGAGCTGGGCTGGGCTGTCCGGTTATTTACGTCATCAGTTCAACTCTGCAACCAATCGGATAACACAGAATAGTTAAGGGGGGGAAGTTTCACCTCCCGTTCCCACGTGTGCTGCTGGACTGGAGGTGATGGGCGGGGCTTGGTGACATCTTCAACGTCGTCGTAAAATCCCCTTCACGCTGGCTGCCGCTGGTTAGGGGTTTCCCACCTTCGGGAGACAGATTGTCGGGGTGGTTGCCATGTTTCTTAAACGAGCCCAAGTAATCGACCACGTGAAATTGGCCCATTTTAGAAAAACAATTCGGACAATACAACACAAAGAGATTGGTACCAAAAAGATTTTCACTACTTGAGCGTAGTAGTGAAAGTGGAAAGAAATTTTTAAAAGTTCAGCGGACACCTACAGGCTGTCTGTCCATGGATCGTGATGATGATGATGATTCGGATAATCGGTACAATCGACAAATTGCGCTAGCTGTAAGCGCATGTGCAGCTGCTCGCTCAACAGCGATGGTACCAGCGGCGCTCAGCGTGCGTCGTCTCTCCGTCTGTGGCAGCGCCTGCACACCGGGGAGAGCCCCGAGGGAGCCATCCAGGCCGTCAAGTTGCTGAGCCGTCGCTGCACCTGCTGGGAGGAGTGCGTGATGCTTGCCAGGGTCAAGTTTGAGAAGTACTTCAACCACAAGGTGCGTGCGCGTGTGTGTGTGTGCGGCCGGATCGAGGGGGCTAAACGGGCGCGGCACGGGCTAGAGAAGAGATGGAGTGATGTGGTACAGGAGGACGTGGAGCTGAGTGGACTTGCCGATGACTGGTATCAGCGGTGTCAAGATCGGCCTCTGTGGAGGAGGCTCGTGAAGGACGCGACTGGGCAGTTGGAGGCAGTCGCCCTCCAACAACAACGAAGGGCGGAGGAGCGCGACGCTCACGACAACGAGCGGAGCGCCGGGTGGCTAAAGCACAGCAAGTTGGCAGAGTAGGGGGCACAGGTGGTGCATCAGCCAGTTATCTCGGTCATCTCAGTCAGTCGACCCCTGGCACCTGCTGGGTCTGCCCCGTGACCTCCTGCCAGCGAGCGTTCGACACTTCAGGTGGCCTCAAGGTGCACATGGCCTGGCACAAGCGTCGTGGTGACGTCACCGCCACTTAGTGGCGAATGGCGGTTGTTGTTGTTGTGTGTGCGGGGAGAGACGGTCGCTCACACCCTCAGCGTTTTGCAAGCCCTCTCTCTCAGCATGAAATTGAGTCTCGGTATTTTTTATCATGCGAAGTTTTTAATAATATTTTTTAACTTAACCACCCCATGCCGTTGATGGTCACGGGTGTTGTTTGACCGTACCTCGCACCTCCGATCAGCACGGTTGGCTGCGTACGGCGCGAAAGAGGTTCAACGTACGTACATACACACCTCGCCACGCGGGTCAGTGCCGCTTGGCGACGAGGGTTACTCTGGACCCGGTTCAAATGTCACTCGCCACGGACGTAAGACGTGACTTGTAATCAAACCCAGGTTGCCAGCTACATAGCGCAGTTCGCTAACCACTGCGTGAACATTTTTTTCAAATATCGTGGTTATATTGTAAAAATAAATTGCATATCATCGCCTTTTTATATGCCTTTTTTTTACCGGCTCATAATTATCACTATGAAATGGCAGTGGCAAAATTAATGTCACCCTCATATACTGAGCATGTTCAGTCATTTAAAGGTATAAAGATGCCAATTAGGGCATTGACGGGTCATTACTTAGACAAACAGTTACACACACATGATGTTCTTGTCCCTTGGTGACACTTGCCATGAAGGCTGCTTTGTTATCGGCCGTCATCTCTCCCCACTGCTGGTTGATGGCCTCCCCTCTTCGGCAGTCTCTCATCAGCCATTTGCGATGCCAGGATCCATCTCGCTGCTGCCAATGAGCTCATCTCCATTGCTCTTCATCCCCAGTGGCTGTGTCTCTGTGGCACGTTTCCCTCCCGTGTGTCACCAGTCTCGTTAGCTATCACCCTACCTCGTGATGCGCGTTACCCACACCCAGTTTTATATATCTTAACGGTAATTATTATTTAAATTTTGATTTAAAGCTTTCATGACTGCAGCGATACATATTCTTGGTTCTTTCGGTAAAGTCACGTAGAAGGGAAATAATAAAATAATATTAATATAAAACAATAAAAATTCTCACGACGTTTCGACTGCAACACAAGCAATCATCATCAGGTGTGAAATCCACAGCAAGATCGGACATTAATTGGTTCCAGACATAAGAAATCTCTCATTATAAATCATTTTTACATGAAGTTTACAGTAATTACATGCATAAAATCATACAAAAAAACAAGAAACACAATAAATAAATGGAATAAATGAATAAACAAATGTAATAAATGAAATAAATGAACATTGAACTTCACTTGACCTGTAGTAAGGAGAGTTGATGGCTTGAGTGGAAGGTGAGGAGGAGGAGGAGGTGGTAAAACCTTTATCTGGGCAAGCGTCATGCACGCTGGCCATGCGCATCTCAGCCGTACAGGTTCTTTCAAGTCGCGATTGCCCGTTCGACCTCCGAATTTCGTTCGGTTTCCGGGACAAAAAATGTTTGGAAATATCGTTCGAACAACGATTTGTTCGAGATCTGGCGCGTTCGATCTCCGAGGTTCTACTGTATACGTATATACATCGTTCACCATCACGGTCCAGTCAGGAGTGCAGCACAGTGGTTATTGTTCCACAATCTTGTCGGGGCCCAAAGGCACCTGTCGATCGTGCCTTGAGGGATGTGTGGTGCTACCCGAGCACATGCTGGCCACGCCGTGGACATGTACGTATGTTGAACTTCTTTCGCACCGTACGTAGCCAACCGTGCTAATCGGAGGTGCAGGAACCCTCGCGTTCTTGTGGCTACGTCTGCCCGGGCGCCTTCCTCGTAGTTTTGAGCACAAATACTCCGCGTTAGTTTCAACTCTCTCCGTCCGACGGCCACCGTTAGGACTACGGCGGAGCGCCACGTTGCAACAGCCCGGCGACGTAATTATTTTTTTTAAATCTCCCTTCGCAATAGCGGGCCTTTGTTTTGCGGCGTTGCGGCTGAGTGTGGTCGAATTGAACCGCCGTGCCGTTTAGTCGTGCCCGTTCAGAGAGAGAGAGCGCTACCCTCTAAACACACACGACCGGTTGAGTGCCCGCAGCCAAGTCGGCGGGGATTGACTCGCACGGCTGCCGGTGTGTCTCTCCCTCCGCCGCCCGCAGGCTAAGCAGCTGCTGCACGCCTTCCCGTTGGACACGAGGCTGAAGGATGGCTGTGAGTGTGCGGCAGCAGCAGCAGCGCAACGCGACATCTGCACGACATCTGCACGTGTTGTTGCCAACGCAAGAAAATGTATTTTCCGATTAAAAAAAAAAACGTGTTTGTTTGATTTCACTCCCCCGCCTTGCCTTTCCTCCCAGCATTGTTTTGGCAGTCTCCTAAGAGGCCACCCACCCCAGTCATCTTTGATCCCAGCATCCAACTGTAAGTTTACATCTGCTGAAATGTTGACTTGCGTCGTAATTTATGAGCGTTTATTATTTTGAACAGTTGTTTATTTGTGTAAAGGTGACTCGGCTGCTGCTGTAAATATCCACGGTCTTTGGCCGCGACTCTTAGCAGACGCTTGGGGCTTTGGGAATGCACGTTCAGTTGTTCACTCCGTTGCATTAACACCGCACCATGGGTGAATGAGCTAGAGGGTTGGCACGGGCAGCAGTAGGTGGCAGGCTGGGTGGTGCAGCCTCGCAGCATTGACGGCTTGAGTTCAATTTTGAGGCTCGGGTGCCTTGCTGTGTGGATTGTGTTTGTCCTTCTCCCCCGTATATTCTGCACGGGTTCCGCGTGGGATGCCTCCGGTTTCCTTCAATGGCAAAAAAAAAGTAAACTTGCAATGTCACCGGTATTGGCCAAACTTCCCACAGCTGAAAAATGACCTGCAAACTACTCAATTGGAATTTCACTTAACAACATCGCCTCCTAATGCGAAAGCTTGGCCAGGACCCTGCTGAAAAAGCGTGTTGAGGCTCTGTGAGGTGCTCCTGGGTAGGCAAACATAGTAGACGAAGTTTGTAGTCTCATGCAGCCAAAGCCTTGGTCTTGAGGCCCTCTTCCGGGAAGTCGTGATACCCCGACCGTAGAACCGAGAACTTCAAACAGTTTACAAAGCTCTGAAAATTATAACACACAGCCATTTGTAAATCCACTGTTGGTCAATGCCCACCCCCACAAATGCCATGTCGGGCATGGAGGATGGTTCGACTATACTTCATCATGCTGGTCAGTGCGGGTGCTTGAAAAGTGGAGTTGCCCAAGGATCAATTAAAATATCTCTTGGCGCTAACATTTTAACCGTGACTGGGAATGGAACTCGCGGCCACCGGTTTCTTAGCGCGGTGCGCTAATTCACTACCTTGCAAAAGCTCTTCATGTCGCCCGTGCATTTTACTGAAGCCTTGCGATTGTGGAGTTTGTCGCGTGGCCGCTAACCGGCGCTCGCCTCGCTGGTTCCGGCCTCGGTGATGACGCCGCAGCCCGCGCGCGTCGGGATGATTGATGGCCGGGATGATTGATGGCATTTGTGTTGCGTTCACGTGACGCCCGCGCGGAGTTTAATTGTGCGGTGTCACGTTGCAGGCACTTTAGTTTCGTTGTGAGCACGGCTCGCCTCTTTGCGGAGGTTTGTGGAATTCCGTACACCGAGCAGGTGAGTAAAAAAGAAACGCTCTCGATGTCAAATCCAATTCTTTTTTCGCCACCACCACCACCGTTCAAGCGTAAATGTAATGCTGCCCTTCTCACAGCATTACCAGCCGTGTAATGTTCTTGATGCATTTTTGTACGTATTTGCAGAGTCTGTCCAAAGAATTTCTCCTAGAAAAGCTGGAAAGCATCACAGTGCCTGAATTTAGACCTTCCTCCAAGGTGAGCAGCAGCAGTATTGCCTGATACAACATTTTTCAACTCGTTACATTAAATGGTCATCATCATCCATATTTTATCTACTGCTGCGCGAAGGGCCCTTCCCTCTTGTCGTAACGACTCCACGTGGTCCTACAATGCCCTTCACTCCCACACACGCCACTCCGCTTGATCCCCGTGCTCACGCACACACACGACCTCCACTTGCTCCTCCACCTCTGCCGTGGCCGCCCTCTCGCGTGTGATCCTTCCAAAGGCTGCCACTCCATCACCAGTCCTGACTATTGGCTGTCAATAAAAAGTGAACATCTCATGCATTGTGACTCGTCATGCATTGTGACCCATCATACGTTGTGGCATGTCGCCCGTAATACATTGTCATTGGATTTTCCGTAGTGAAATGCACTCGGACGAAATATTTCACGATGTAAAGTGAGTGAATGTTTGGTAGTGTTGGTCTGCCTGTAATTTTCCACTGCAGAGCAAAGGCCGCTCTCATTTTCTCCCACGTCTCCCGTCTTCCCAGCAGCTCCTGTCGAGCGCTGGCTCGAATGTCGACCTATTAAACTAAACTATATATTTTTTATTTTACCAGGTCCCACTGAGCTATATAGATTTTATATTTCAGAAGCAACCTGGTCACAAATTATAGCCCAATTAAGTGACTTATGTGGAAAGTGACAGGAGCCAAATACTCTAAACGCATGTTTCTAAATGTAGAGGGAAAAACCGGAGGACCCGGAGGGAAATCCACACGTCCGTGGGGAGAGAGAGACACACCGCAAACTCGTGTCGAGCAGCGGCTCCACAACTCTTTCGCTGACTTTTCTCCGCTTATCTTCCCCGACAGCAAATTGAGACGGACGACGGCATCAAAAAGGTTGAGTTGGCCAAGCTGGCGCCGAGCGGAGAGGAGGAGAGCCAGGTGTGGCAGCTCCTGGACCGCACCATCAAGGAGGGCGCCATCTCAGAAGGTGATGCCCCCCTCCCTACCTCCCCCCCACACAACTTCCCCTGCATATAGGGGCAAGCTAGCAGTGCCCGCACGACTGTTGCTGTGACCCTACAATACATCATACGATATTGCGTCAACGATCACCATATAGTTTTCTTCGCAATCTATCGTCATCGCCGTCATTTTGGTGGTTCATATATTTTAAAATACAAATTTTATTTCTGACAAAATATAAGAAAAACCGGCACACACATCCCCCGTGTAGGTCAACAATGGGTAGAATTGTACGGGCCAAATTTGCGTCGGTATTACATCATCATTTTTTTGTTTGGCTTTTAATCTGGGCCACCACTCCTCCACATTACCCCTGGATAACCAAGAGTTGGCTGTAAAAGCAGGTGACCCACACGGTAAGCCGTGTTGTGCCGCCCCATGCGTGACACCATCCCCCTGTCTCCCACGCCACTCGCACAGCCAACCTGCGCCTGAAGGCGCTGGAGTTCGAGAAGGACGACGACTGCAACGCCCACGTGGACTTCATCCTGGCGGCGTCGAACCTGCGTGCGTGCATGTACAGCATCGACCTGGCCGACCGCCCGCAGACCAAGCGCATCGCAGGCCGCATCATCCCGGCCATCGCCACCACCACCGCCGCCGTGTCCGGCCTGGTGAGCGCTTGCACCCTGCGTCGTCCCGCACACTCGAGATGGGGCGGCTTGGTGGCGAGATGTTAACTACCTCGCCTGGTATGCGGGAGATCGTGGGTTCAATCATGACCTCATGCCTGTATATTTGGAGTTTGCGTGTTTCTCTCCCCGTGGTCGTGTGGATTTGTCTCCGGGTCCTCTGGGTTTTCCCGCCACATTTAGAATGAACGTGCGTTTAGAGCATTCTGCTGCTTAATATGTCCACGTGATAAGCCACTTCGTTAAGCTATAATGTGTGGCCAGTTCGCTTCTGAAACAGAACTATATAGCTCAGTGAGCCTTAGCTGGCGAAATAAATAGTTTCGTTTTTAGTTTAGAGGTGGGCGACATTGGCCGAGGTCGCTTTTGACGATGTTGACGTCGCGCGACCTCGACGTAGCTGCGAGTGACAGCGCCGCGCGTGTGTGTGCGCGTGTGTGCGCGTGTGCAGGTGGCGCTGGAGCTGATCAAGGTAGCGCAGGGCCTGAAACTGGAGGACCTCAAGAACTGCTTCCTCAACCTGGGCATCCCCGTGCTGCTGCTCTCCGAGCCTGCGCCAGTGAAGAAGACGCCCATCCGGTGGGGAGAGACACTTGGGGACCGTATCCTTGTTGATTGTTTGGCGATGCTGCGTTGGCAGTGGTGCCACGTCTCGCCTGTGCTCATCCCTCTGCATTGGCTTCCAGTTCAAACCCGCGTTGAGTTTGCGGTCCTCCTCCTTGTGGCCAAGGCTTTGCATTGGCTTGCTCCACCATATACCCCGGAGTTGATGCAGCCAAAAGCTCCACTGAGATCTCCGAGATTTCTACTGGGTGCGTAAGCACGCCCCATGCGTCGCACCTGGAGTGACCAGCGGACATCCGGGCCCTTTCCCTGCCCTTTCATTATCAGAGTTGTTTATTTTTTTTTGCATTTTGACTGCTTGTGTTGTGGTTATTGCAAACATGATGCCTTGTATAAAGGTGTCAGTTTTGTACCAGTTGAAAGGGTAAAAACCTATTACTATAATGGATGGAGACTTGAGTCCCAGCCGAAGACCCCACCATCTGTTTAACAAGGCCCTCCTCTCTTTGGAGTTCTCTATCTGGTCTCTTCAATCTTTCTCTCCCTGGTGACTTATTTTCCTCATTCATATGCATGGCTGTCTGAGATGCATTGTTAAAGGTCACCTTATAAATCTAAATTATTGTTTTTAATTAACGGAAATAATTTAACACATTTGTCAGTAGCACTATGACTCTAAACTAAAATATCTATTTAAAAAAAGGAGACGTTTCAATAATCATAACGGGTTTGCCTGTTGCCCAATAGCTACGATTAGGTAATAATTCATCAGCCAATTTAAATACTGCTTATGAGAAAACACATTTTTTAAATGTAATTCTCTTATCAGGTCACACTCTCTACTCAACCTCTATATATATTTTTAAGGCCAAAGTGTTATTGACGAATGTGAGTTTTATTTTCCCATGCCAAGGATTAAATAGGCATTCAAAATACCTTTGGTGGGCAACCACGTATTACTAAACTAAACTATATTATCTTCTTGGTTCTTTCGGTAAAGTCACGTAGAAGGGAAGTAATAAAATAATAAAAATAAAACATAATAAAATTATTCTCACGACGTTTCGGCCACAACGCAAGCAGCCGTCCTCAGGTTAAAACCAGGTCCGTCGAGGCGACAGAGTCTGAATGAAACAGCACACGGGCTTGGAGCATATATATAAGCTGGGTGCCTTTACAAAAGAATTTGCATATCAAGAGGAATTTAGCATATTTATGGGAAATGCAGGAATGTGATTAGTACTACATATGCATGTGCATTATGCAGGATTAACAGCATCAAAGGGAGCTGCAGTTGCTGCTGCTGCTGCTGCAGTTGCTGCTGCTGCTGCAGTTGCTGCTGCTGCAGTTGCTGCTGCTACTGCAGTTGCTGATGCTGCTGCAGTTGCTGCTGCTGCTGCTGCAGTTGCTGCTGCTACAGTTGCTGCTGCTGCTGCTGCAGTTTCTGCTGCTGCTGCTGCAGTTTCTGCTGCTGCTGCTGCAGTTGCTGCTGCTGCAGTTGCTGCCTTATCCATTTTAATATAACACTATGTATTATTCTACCCACCCTAATGTGTATCACACTGCTATATAGTTACTATACAATTACGACACCATACATTACTCTGCACACTGCACCATGCCAGTGAGTGGAACGTGGTCTGAAAGTCACCGTAAACGTGAACACAATCAGTTAAGATCCGAAATGGTTTATTACGTCCTTCCAATGATTGATAAGCCAGAATCCATCTTCTCGGTTGAAATTGTCTCTGTGTTTGTATATGTGGATCGCCTCATGAACGAATCTCTCATGATAGCCAGATGGCTTGCAGAGAACCTCTGTCTTGGAGAAGTCAATGTCATGTGAGCCCACTGAATTGTAACAGTGATCTGCCACGGCTGAGGTGTCTCGGACCGCATCCGTGAACATAAAGCAGACCTGAAACACGGTAGGACCAACACCTCAGCCGTGGCAGCAACTGCAGCAGCATCAGCAACTGCAGTAGCAGCAGCAACTGCAGCAGCAGCAGCAACTGCAGCAGCAGCAGCAACTGCAGCAGCAGCAGCAACTGCAGCAGCAGCAGCAACTGCAGCTCCCTTTGATGCTGTTAATCCTGCATAATGCACATGCATATGTAGTACTAATCACATTCCTGCATTTCCCATAAATATGCTAAATTCCTCTTGATATGCAAATTATTTTGTCAAGGCGCCCAGCTTATATATATGCTCCAAGCTCGTGTGCTGTTTCATTCAGACTCTGTCGCCTCGACGGACCTGGTTTTCACCTGAGGACGGCTGCTTGCGTTGTGGCCGAAACGTCGTGAGAATAATTTTATTATGTTTTATTTTTATTATTTTATTACTTCCCTTCTACGTGACTTTACCGAAAGAACCAAGAAGATGAATCCCTGCAGTCACGAAAGCTTTAAATCGAAAAATAAACTATATTAGTTTTACCAGGCAAGGCCCCACTGAGCTACACAGCTCTTTTTCAGAAGCGACCTGGCCACACACAATAGCTCAACGAAGTGGCTTATCGTGTGGGAATTTATAGCAGCCAAATACTCCAAACGCACTTCGATTCTAAATGTGGAGGAAACAACTGGAGGACCTGGAGAAAAATCCACGTGACTCCAGGGTGAACATGCAAACTCGAAATATACAGCAGCAGGCGTCAGGGTCTGGATCGAACCCACGACCTCCTGTGTACCAGGCGAGGTATTGCAGGAGGACCTTAGAGTGACATAAATTACTTAAGCATGCTAAAACACAGCGTGGTTGCCCAGGTCCAAAATAATCCACCCAAGTTCTGAGTTAGCGTGGGTAATATTCTTGCAAGTGACGGATAAATACACTGGTCAACACACTTTTTCTGGCATAAGGTATTCCAACGGTTTTAAGGTAATTTTGGGGTGCTGATTCCAAATCTGGCATCAGTTTTTGTTTTATCACGTCAGGTTTTTGAGATATCAAATATTGCATTTTCAATCAAAACTGCAGAAGAAAAATATTAAATAAATGTGGATATCTACATAAAATTATAGTATAAACACACTATCCTAAAAATACAGCACCATATTTTAACACTAAAGCAGTCACTGACTCGCAACAACTTGCAATCATAAGTGACAGAGTTAATTTCGGGTAAAATCAATGAAAATGGGGTATGCCGATAGCGTAAAAATGATCTGATAGAGCAAATCTGAGATCATATTTGGAATCAGCACCCTGAAATTAGTCTAAAACAGCTGCAAAAGTCCAGGCCAGAAAAAAATGTTTTTTTTTGTTGACCAGTGATATCATTCGCAGGCTCTTTCGCAGTGGTAGGTCTCATATGGTGGCCGTATGTAAAATGACATTGCGGGTCAGATGCAGCTTCTGGGGCTGTTGGTTTTCCCAGCCGTGGCTTAAAGGGCCGAAGCCGTTTAATTGACATTGCCCCCCCCCCCCCCCCCCCGTCAGTGGCACTCTGTTTGTATGGGAAGGCAAGCATGAAATTAAATTAAGTTTCGTTTACAAACCATTTAACTCTAGATGTTGAATTCCCACTGTGTCAAGTTAAGTGCTGGTCGACGTCGCTTGCAGCCCCTTCGAATGCGGCCTCTTCATGCGTGTCTGCGAAATGGGTTCGGCGAACTAAATTACGTGTGAAGATTGTTTATTCTTCGAGGGTTACGATGATTTATTCCGGCCGTCGTGGCTACGCACGCTTGTAAAATCCAGCACTGGTTGGCAGCGAGGGTTGGTGGGTCACATATGTTGTGAAACTTCCTTCGTGCGGGTGTCGAGCTTGCCAATCCCTGGCTTGCCAGGAGAGAAGGCCACGCAGCGAACGACGACTCCACCTTTTCCATCTGGATGATAATAAGCAAATGATGAAACGTGCCGGGGAGTCGCATTCAATCTCAGCGGCCATGGGCTCTGGTGCCAATCGGGGTAGCAGCTCTCACTGAGATAACCGTCTTCCCCCCCAACCCCCACCTCGCCTCGTTGTGCCGTCACCAGGGGCGACCTCTCCTTCACCATCTGGGACAAGTGGGAGATCCACGGCAGCGAGGACTTCACACTGCAGGACTTCATCAGGGCCGTGAAGGTGAGCTCTTGGCAGCTTCATTGCCCTTGCTATTGCACCAAGTTGCGTGCAGTCAGGACGATTTTCTAACACATCCCTGTAAGTGCCCCCCGTGTGTCCTCATTTCCTGACGTGTCTCCATGCGTCTCCCCCGCGTCTCCCCGCGTGTCCCTGACGTGTCCCTGACATGACCCCGTGTGTCTGCACGTGTCCGCATGTGTAACCATTTGTCCTTGCGTTTCATTTTGCGTGTTCCCTTGTCTATCCCCACGTGTTGTTATGTGTCCTAAACGTGTCCCCATGTGTTTACGATTTTTCCCCGACACATCCCTGTGTGTGTGTGTGTGCCGCTGACGTGCCCTCCCCTCCCGCCCCCCACCGTCTCTCCCTGCAGGAGAAGTATGGAGTGGAGCCCACCATGGTGGTGCAGGGAGTTAAGATGGTGTACGTGCCTATCATGCCGGGCCACAGCAAGCGGCTCAAGCAGACGTGAGTGCCCTCCCCCAGCCTTCCTGGCACGGCAAAAGGGGATAGACGGGGCTATATTTACTCGTATGAGTAGAGACGTCACGATCCGTGTCACGATCCGTATCACAAACCGTGAGTCCATCCTTTAATCAGTCGGTCCCCGTCTGTTCTCGGGACTCAGCGGTGCCCTTCCCGTGGCCGGCCCCAATATTTCGCGTGACCGAGTGTGTTCGTAGGGCCACACACGTCATTTGTCTGCCATCTAGTGGCAGAATTGGGGGGGGGAAATATTCACGTCAGGGACCCATTCTGATTATTTATTTTTTACCAATTGAAAATGACCAAGTTTACGGGATGGATTTTGACAAGTGCTGGCTGCAGGGTGACGTAATAACGCACGGCTATAATCGGGATGATTGGCATGATGTGGGGTTGTCTCAAGATTTGTGTTGTTTTTCCTCTGCTTTGGAGCCATCTAACCTGTCATGCATATATTGTAAACAAATAAATGAAATGAATGATTTGAACATGCAGAAGTTGATCGTAAGAATCACTTTCATCGTTGAATCCTTGCATGTCTCAGAATCATGAATATTTATTTATCTATCCTGGAGGAATCCGAATGAGCTATGAAGCTCTTTGTCACAGCTAAACCAGCTGTATGTCGAGGCCCTTACAAAATCTGCTTTTGCTCATGCACGGCTTGTCAGTGGCCCTTCGTTCACAACATTTCACTATTTAATATAACGTTCAATATTCTCAAGAGTGGAGCGGTTGTGCTTAGCGGTGGTGCCAGCGGTCAGTCCACCGCGCTACGAACTCAGGCTCCGAGAACAATTCCCGCTCGCAAGATCAAAAAGCTGTGGCGAATATTTGAACCGGTCCTGGTGCTCCGCTAGGTTTACTTAGCCTTAAATGAGGACCTGGTGCAGTGTGTGGACGTCAGCAGTGGAGGGGACAACGGCAGCCGGGTGTGGTTTTGGCAACCCGCCCCTCACTTGCCGTGTCGGCCTACATAGGTGCTCGCTAACAGGACTTACCCCGTTAAAACGCTATATGGGAGATCTTTGCATTGGTGTGTCTTGTGTGTGTGCCCAGCATGAACAAGCTGCTAAAGCAAACGGAGCGACGGTATGTGGACCTCACGCTGTCCTTTGCACCGGAGACGCCAGGGGAGGATGACCTCCCGGGACCGCCGGTGCGATATTTCCTGTGCCGAGCGGCCGACTGAACGGAGAGAGGAGACTGTGGCCAGCGAACTGCGGCGGCCGGTCGCCCGCCCGCCCGGGGTGCACTAACACCCCCCCCCACTCTCCCTCCCCCACCACCACCGCCCCTATTCTCGTCTCCTCCTCCGTGTCGCCCTGCTCAGCGAGGAGTCGTAATATTGAAGCGACCCACACCGGACAAATCTCGATGGACAATTCGTAGACACAGCAGCAGTACCCCCGTGTATGTCCGAAGCACTTTTCTTGACCTTGTTGTAGGGAAGTAACAAAAACACTGTGAGGTCGGCGCGTCGACCAGCCCTCAAAATTGACACGAGACTAACGGGCGAGGCATTACTGCAACTACTTTGCCGACTCTTAACTCGTAAATATTTCAGTACATCTGGAGGAATTTATTGAGAGATTTTGACTTATTGTTGATTTCTTAGAGCACTTTAGAGAACAAAATTCTAACACGATCCTAAATGCCACGAAACTCGAATGACGGGTTTTACTTAGCTGCCGATTTAAAACAGAAATACTAATTATAAACAATCTCGTATGGTCGCCTGCGTCGTGTTAGAGAAAGAGACAAACATCATCATCATCGACTTAGACCGCCGGCGAGTCCACACCCCAGCAAGTCGTCACACTCTGCTCGCGCCATGAACATTTAAATAAATGCGCACGTGCGTTTGTGCAACACATCTTGTATCAACACATCACAACTCATTTAATAATTTCCAGCAGTTTTATTGAATGAAGGCCCTCCACAAGCCACGTCAGTCTTGGAGGTTATTTGTTTGACCATACTTCACCACGCAGGTCAGTGTGGGTTGCTGAAAGGGTGGGGTGGGGGGGACCAGAACAGATTCGAATGCCACTCGCCACTTGCGTTTATCCGTGGCCGGGAATTCAACTCGGACTCGCCAAGTTCGTAGTGTGGTTTACTAACCATTGCGCAACTCTTCTCCCACACACACGCGCACATCTACAATGCTGTATATGCACAGACTGCTGATATAAATACGTTTGAATGGGAAGATAACAGGCAACGGCGTAACGCGACGAGCTGAACTATACGGTGGGCATATTATACGGAACCTCCACCCCCCCCGCCGCTCTCCTGCTCGTGCATCCAGCCAAAGAGGAGACGCACCTTACCGTGTGCGGACGGCCCGCGAGGTCGTGCAGCTGTGCGCGTGCGCTGCTGCATAACGGACGGTTGTTTGCGACTCCTTCGCGAAACGTGATATCTGAGTTTAGTGAGCCACAGTGTGTAGCGTGGTTTTGCACTGCCTTAAAACACGAATGTTCCGTGCCATCGCCCGCCGTGGTTTTGCTCCCGTGTATTCATCGTCGCCATCATCTCTGCAGCGAAGTGAACGGAATTAAAGTGTTGCTTACGAGCCCGGACCCGAGCATTTCACTGCTTGTTGTCGAGGTGTCGTCGGGGGTGGCGCAGCAGGTCAGCCGCCACACTCCCTTGGTTCGGTGGTTTGTTCGTGGCAATCGAGGGGCGTTGTTGAAGTTTGAACGTCGGAGGAGGTCAGCCGAGCATCGTCACCGGCTCGTGCCTGGAATCTGTCGCTTTGGAGACGAGTGTTAGCGGGTGGTGACGGATATTTGTGGAAACTCCATAAACTCACTGGACTGAGAAGGTGATTGGATTAGGTGGCAGCAACGCAAGTGGGTTTATGAACCCATCAGGAGAGCTGTGGGTGTTATCCTTTCCGCATGTGTGGGGTTTCTCCAGGTGCTCCGGTTTCATCTTACTCGCAAAATACTCGATAGAAAGGAATTGGCCCAAACATCCGAATGTAAGACCCTCCTCAAAATGGATCTTGAGACTCAAAGGTTGTTTTTTTTTCGAAATTTGTTGTATTGTCATACATTATATTCCTGGTTCTTTCGGTAAAGTCACGTAGAAGGGAAACAAAATAATAAAAATATAAAATTATCACGACGTTTCGACTGCAACACAAGCAATCATCATCAGGTGTGAAAAACAGCCAAAAATTTTGAAAAAAGTGGCGGTTTTTTCTTAACGTTAGCACCATGGACAGCGATTTTGGCAGTTCAGATGCAGTCGAAACGTCGTGAGAATTATATTGTTTTATATATATTTTTATTTTATTGTTTCCCTTCTATGTGACTTTACCGAAAGAACCAAGAATATGAATCCCTGCAGTCACGAAAGCTTTAAATCAAAATTGTCATACATTGTTAAATTGCTACTGTGTTTAGAGCATTATTCATTACCAAAGCCCTCTGCTAAAAAGTGGACGTTAAAGACCCTGAAAATGAAGCATTGCCAGTACCAGCATGAAGCCCCGCATCTGCCATATGTAAAAGATGCACAGATTGCTTTATTTTGAATAAATGCATTCCATGTATGGTATGAACATCCAATTAAAACATTATCTATGAGGATGTTATCTCTAAGGCAATGTTTGGCTGTCGAATTGGGCAGATTGCAGTTAAAATTTCAAGAATGGAACTTGTGAGATTTCAGCTATGAATGGTAATCGCCGTGTAATGGATTCGCTTGTTTGAAATGCACGTGGCAGTCAGTGGCTTGAATAAAATAGCAACAAGTTGATCAATGCAGTCCAAACATCAAGTTTGCACTGTGCTGGAACAGCACGCTTCACACGTACGAGTACGAATGCACACGGGGATTTTCTGGGTGGCAAATAGGATCTGGATATGACCATCGGATAGGCCCTCCCAACACGCCTTGTGTATCAGGTGACATCACCAGACCGGGTGCATAATACATTACACACAGCCTTGATTTAAATTTCGATTTAAAGCTTTCGTGACTGCAGGGATTCATCTTCTTGGTTCTTTCGGTAAAGTCACGTAGAAGGGAAGTAATAAAATAATAAAAATAAAACATAATAAAATAATTCTCACGACGTTTCGGCCACAACGCAAGCAGCCGTCCTCAGGTGAAGACCAGGTCTGTCGGGGAGACAGCGTCTGACCTAGTCTTCACCTGAAGACGGCTGCTTGCGTTGTGGCCGAAACGTGAGAATTATTTTATGTTTTATTTTTATTATTTTATTACTTCCCTTCTACGTGACTTTACCGAAAGAACCAAGAAGATGAAGCCTTGATTTACACACAGACAATTGCGTTTTGCCGGTTTCACCCTTGTTAGGAGCCATCAGTACAGTGGAGGCATCGTGTCCCAGAGAGCTTCGTGTGGACAAGACCTCCCGTGGCCGCTGTAAGTGCCACAAATGTAAAAGACACAACGCAGGAAATCCCCGGGATTGATCTTCCACGAAGCTCTTATAGTTTACCCGTAAACCGCGCCCACTGCACAAACCACGGCAGATCGGATACCTAACGCGCAAGTTTAAACTCTCCAGTGGTAGTGGTGCGACTGTGGTCATCCAGAAAAAGGCCGTACGTATGAACGACGCAATGCCCTGTCCACAAATATGAAGGGGACAATTCTCGATTTGAAGCTTTCGTGACTGCAAGGATTCATATTCTTAGGTTTTTTCGGTAAAGTCACGTAGGTAAAAAATTAAAATTAATAAAAAGTGAAATAAAAATCACGACGTTTCGGAGGCAACACAAGCTACTTGATACAGCTATCGTGCTGTGACGGTTCCACCTGAAGACGGAAGCTTGTGTCCGAAACGTGATTTTTATTTTATTTTTATTTTACTTTTATTAATTTAAATTTTTTACCTACGTGACTTTACCGAAAAAACTTAAGAATACGAAGGAGACAACGCAACGATGGACAACTCTTGCTGCTCCAGGTTGCGGTTGTCTGAATGTGAAATTGTAGTTGATGCTCTGCATCTCCCATCAGCCGTCTGAAAGAAGTGTCACAAATCAATTCTGACGGTTGTTATAAATGACGAGCAGCGCTCCACTCAAACTCAACTCCTGCTCCATTATACTTTAGTTGTTTACGTGGTGGTTTAGTTACTGCAGCTACATACTATTAACATTCCTTCCCTTTATTAATGTTACCCCTATCCCCTCCCTTTGATGCTGCTAATCCTGCATAATGCACGGGCATAATATGACTTTAAACACCCCGCCAAACCAACGCATTTCACAAGTAGTACTAATCGCATATCTGCATTTCCCATAACTGACGTTGGCTGTAATTGGCCACGGTTCCTTACGTTATGGCAAGCTTCGGGGCCACTTCCTGGAGTCGTGGAGTTCTGCCATTACTCGTACGGTACATTTCATTAAAGCGTGTTAAAATTTTTTTTTTTATATTACTTATTTCTTCTTTATCCGGATGAATGTACGTGCAGTAACGAGCGAGCAATACTCGATGCGCTTGTAGTTGGCCATGTCGTCAGTAGAGGGCAGTGCTGCAATATAAATGGTACTGGTAGGAACCTCCTGGTCACACCAGCCCACAGGGGATTATTGTGTCCGTCCGTCCGTCGTGAAAGGAGGGGCTGGGTGGGGAGGGGAGGGTGGGGTGGGGTGGGGCTGGGTGAGGAGGGGCTGGGTGGGAGGGGTGGGCCTGGTTGAGGAGGGGCTGGTCACCCCGTGGTGCCCTTATAAAACTCAACGTTTAACCTACTCACGCCGGCTTGTGCCCGCCCTCACAGTCGGCCATATTTGCGGAATACACCACGCCGCCGTTGACCCTGGCCATTGACCGAGCAACCCAACGTTCCTACCAGCTCCCTCCGCAGGAATGTGTGACTTCACCGAAAGAACCAAAGAGTATGGATTCCTGCAGTCACGAAAGCTTCAAATCAAGATTGTACTAGACACGTACACAAAGACAAGGATAGTCTGAGCAAGGCTGACACGGCACAGCACACGAGGGGTGGGTGGCCAACTCCATCGCCCGGCCGTCTTTGTCTCCCGGGTGGCGATGTTTACACACCGCACCAGGTACTCATTTGAGGCTGAGTCGACCTAGGGGAGGCCCAGGACCGATTCAGATCATCGTCACCGGTGTTGGCCGTGAGCAGTGAGCATGGACCGAACTCGGGACGCCGGGTTCGGAGCATACTACCCACTCGGGCTGAACGAGTGATCGATTTCAAATCGAAATCGCAATTTGAAACAGTGCGGTTAGGGGCCGTCCATAAATGACGTCACGCGATTTTGGGCAATTTTTGACACCCCCCCCCCCTCGTCACACGACGTCATAAAAAGTCAGACCCCCCCCCCCCTCTCAAATATGCCCCCCCCCCCCAACATGCTTCAAATCGCTTTAAACTATTGTCATTGTAGTGCGTATTTAATGTGGCGCTGCACTCTGATGTTGTAGGAGAAAACATTTATCAAAAAGTCTATTTAATTAAGTAGAACGTGTTGTCTATATTTATTTAAAGTTGCGCATTCTGATGTGACGTCACATTTATCAAATCTCACCCTCGTCACACATCGTCACAAATGTCTGACCCACCCCACCCCCCTAGGTGCGTGACGTCATTTATGGACGGCCCCTTAGCAAATCGCAAAGCTGCAATTTTCTGCGATCTGAAAAGTCCTATTTCTTATTGGAATTGTTTTATTCAACGGTTTTACTTAACTTGATTCCTCTGTTTGTCGTGGTCAAATCTTGTCATCAAAATGTCGTCCACTTCCCGTTGTCCAATAAATTCCACATTCTGCACACGTGCTCAGATCCGGTGACAATACATGCCTGTATCGAAATCGGCATCAATTAATCACGTATTCGTTAATGTAAAGCAATTACATTTTGCATGGAGGCCTTATTATTTATATATTTTTGTGTCGGTCAAAAACGCCGCGGTCCCTAAACTGTGGAATCGGCTCGCACAAGAAACAGGCGCCGCGTGTCTCAGGCGCCGATGACGTACTTGTCGACCGTGAGTTAAACGAAGTTGTTAATAAAAAGTTGTTTAAAAAAAAACTTTTCTAAAGGACTTTATTTAACTTGACTTGTGTTTGTCGTGGTCAAATCTTGTAATCAAAATTTAGTCTACTTCCGTTGCTCAATCAATTCGATATTTTGCAAACGTACTCAGATCCGGTGACAATGCATGCCTGGATCAAAATCGACACCAATTAATCAATTAATTGGTTGTTTCAAAGCAATTTTTTTGTATGGACGGCTCATTATTTAAATATTTATTTGGGTAGGTTAAAAACGCCGCGGTCCCTAAACTCTGGAATGGCCTCGCAAAGTGAGACACAGAGAGAAAGAGACACAGAGAGAGAGACAGAGAAAGAGACACGGAGAGAGAGACACACAGACACACACACAGACAGAGACACCAAGAGAGACACACAGACACACAGACAGACACACAGAGGAGACATTCGCCGCGGTGCCTCGCCCCAACAAATCCGCGCTCCGACCAATGAGACGCCGCCTGGCGACGGCGGCGGCGGGAGGGTCCGCGACGAACGACTCCGAGGCAGCCGCGGCGCCGCGGCCATGAAGGCGGCGAAGGAGCTGACGGAGTGCGCGGCGCTCGGCCCGGGATGGATGCGGGAGGAGGTCTACCGCAAGTCGGGCGCCTCTGCGGGCAAGACGGACGTCTACTACTACAGGTGCTGCGCCGGGCGGGCGATGAAGGAGGAGGAGGAGGGAGGGAGGGGGAAGATCCGGGCGTGAGGAAGGCGACGGCTTTCAACCACGGCCATCGAAAGTCGCCGTCGTCGTCTTCGTCGTCGTGAGGCGGGACGCGCTCGGACATGGCTCCCCGTCGCGGTGGGGGACGCGAGCCGGGCCCCGGGGGGTCTCGGTCAAGTGGCGAGAGGGCGAAGCGCGGCGCTAAAAGTCCGCGCGGGGCAATGGAGGTGGAGGTGGTGGCGGTGGCGTTTGTTAAAAATTAGGTGTTTTAACATTTTTTTGGGGGGGCGCACGGTTGTGAAGCTCCCTGAGGGAGCCGGGGGCCCCATGGGTCCGGCTGCCTGGCTCGGGGCCCCATGGGTCCGGCTGCCTGGCTCGGGGCTCTGGTGAGCGGGGCCGCGGTAGATGTCGTAGCAGCGAGGGCCACGGGAGCCAAGGAGGCAGTACGGCGTCAGGTCCCCGACTCGCAGTGCTCGGAAGCTCCCACGGGCCGATGTCTTTCCGCCTTCAACCCGCACTGACCGGCCGTGGTGAGGTATGGTCAATTAACCTGCCTACTGTCCACACGGCGTGGTGAAGTATGGTCAATTAACCTGCCTACTGTCCACACGGCGTGGTGAAGTATGGTCAATTAACCTGCCTACTGTCCACACGGCGTGGTGAAGTATGGTCAATTAACCTGCCTACTGTCCACACGGCGTGGTGAAGTATGGTCAATTAACCTGCCCACTGTCCACACGGCGTGGTGAAGTATGGTCAATTAACCTGCCTACTGTCCACATGGCGTGGTGAAGTATGGTCAATTAACCTGTCTACTGTCCACACGGCGTGGTGAAGTATGGTCAATTAACCTGTCTACTATCCACACGGTGTGGTGAAGTATGGTCAATTAACCACACGGCGTGGTGAAGTATGGTCAATTAACCTGCCCACTGTCCACACGGCGTGGTGAAGTATGGTCAATTAACCTGCCCACTGTCCACACGGCGTGGTGAAGTATGGTCAATTAACCTGCCTACTGTCCACACGGCGTGGTGAAGTATGGTCAATTAACCTGCCCACTGTCCACACGGCGTGGTGAAGTATGGTCAAATAACCTGCCTACTGTCCACACGGCGTGGTGAAGTATGGTCAATTAACCTGCCTACTGTCCACATGGCGTGGTGAAGTATGGTCAATTAACCTGTCTACTGTCCACACGGCGTGGTGAAGTATGGTCAATTAACCTGTCTACTGTCCACACGGTGTGGTGAAGTATGGTCAATTAACCTGCCTACTGTCCACACGGCGTGGTGAAGTATGGTCAATTAACCTGCCCACTGTCCACACGGCATGGTGAAGTATGGTCAATTAACCTGCCTACTGTCCACACGGCGTGGTGAAGTATGGTCAAATAACCTGCCCACTGTCCACACGGCGTGGTGAAGTATGGTCAATTAACCTGCCTACTGTCCACACGGCGTAGTGAAGTATGGTCAATTAACCTGCCCACTGTCCACACGGCGTAGTGAAGTATGGTCAAATAACCTGCCCACTGTCCACACGGCGTAGTGAAGTATGGTCAAATAACCCGCCCACTGTCCACACGGCGTGGTGAAGTATGGTCAATTAACCTGCCTACTGTCCACACGGCGTGGTGAAGTATGGTCAATTAACCTGTCTACTGTCCACACGGCGTGGTGAAGTATGGTCAATTAACCTGTCTACTGTCCACACGGCGTAGTGAAGCCCTCCCCCCCCCACCTCATCCAGCAGTGGATTGACAAAACGAGCTGTGAATGTTTTGATTTGATTGTGGAATGTGGTGCAACTGAGTGCCGAGTCACCAGAGTTCCCCACCACCACCACCACCACCCCACGCACCCGGAGCGCCGTGACCTCGAGCCGCGGCCGTGACACCGTCACACGCCGAGAGCCACTTCCATCGGAGGGACCGAGAACTCAGCTCGCCAGATACGGGGTCAAGGCCGTGGGGAATCGGGAATCATGGGGCTCGGGGTGATGGGACTGAGGGTCATGATGGATCAGGGTCATGATGGATCAGCGGCATTGGAGAGGGGTCACAGGGGAGTCTGTGTCATTGGGTTCAAGGTCATCGGGGATCAGGGTCAAGGGGATCAGGGTCACGGGGATCAGGGTCACGGGGTCAGCACCCCACCTGTGGCTGCTTCTCGCTGTGAGCCTCCACGCAGCAGTTTTTAAATCATCAGTTCACGGAAGACTTTCTTGATCTGTTGATAGGTAGGGTGGTCCATTCATAGATACTCAATTCAAATTAGAAACATTTTATTTACAAGCCTCTGCAAGTCTCCCATCAATGTCAACACACGTATAACATCTTTTGTTAACACTCTTCTGAGATATGGATCCATTGATTTCCATATGCTCGGTTAACTGTTGTGAAGAAATGGATCACTCTGTACTACAATTTGTTCATTACTTAATCGGTCATCCGTTAATCCATCACTTCACATTGATCCGTTCATTCTTTGGTTCATTTATCACTCGTGACAACAGGTTGTGGCACGTCAGCCTATAATTCCATAAATGAGACGTTTAGATTAGTCTTCATCAGGCTAAAATATGTCACCGTCGCGACGGGTTTAAACACGAGCGACTGACGAAGACTGCGATTCTTCTCGCTGTCGTCAAAATGTCTCCGAAATTTAAACGTAGGCTGGCGTGTACCATCTCGTCACGAGTGTTCATACTCTTTGGTTCTTTCGGTAAAGTCACGTGTTCACCAGCACCAGTTGTTCGTAATTTTTTCTTCATCAGTATTCAGCTTCTCGTGGGCCATGTAACCAATGCTTAGGTGATGTCATCTCGGCATCAGGGGCCAGAAGAATCTACCGGTTTCATTGAACAACTCTTCATTATCGCATAGCAAGGTTCTTCGTCATCGCAAGGCCCGCGGGGCCACTGGCGGCCCGTGGTGGCCTTTAGTGCGACCCCTGACGTGCGGCCCCCGACAATACACAGATGTGAAAGTATCCCCCCCCCCCCCCCCCGACAATTAGTGGAGAACGCTGAGGTAGATCACTTGCCCCTCACCACCACCACCTAACCCTGAGTGGACAGGGTCCACAGAGAGGAGGAAGGAGGGCGTACATGGAGACAGGCATACTGGAGTGCGCGTGAACCTCTTTCTCGCGTGCAACCCCTTCACTTGTGTCAACTGCTGGATGAAGGTCTCCCGATCCCTTTCAGTCATGGGGGGTCATTTGACCGTAGTTCAGCCGTGCTGGTCAGTGCAGGTTGGTGAGGGTCGGGACGTGTGGAGGCATTAAAGTCCAGAAGCAGCTATGGATTTTGTCGCACCAACCCTCCCGTGCCAACCACGGTGCGGTGCCGTGCACAAACACGCAGGCAGTTTGCCATAGGGCTGCGTGGTGTACACATCACTGCATTATTTTACAAGCTCCCTGAGAACGGTCGGTTCTAAATAAGGCCAATGCAGAAGAGATGCATTAAGTTTGGGTTTTAAAATGTGATGGCAAAAGACACGATTGAAGAGACAGCGGCATATTGTGTTCCGAACATTTAACGCTCCTGCTGTTGGCACTCGTTTGACAAGCACACAAATCTTAGATGTTTACATCGCCCTGTTCCGTGTTGGCAGCACTCATTGGCAGGCTGATTTCAGTTTTATACAACGTTTTGAGATGAGAAGAAGCCCAATAAAAGTGTGCATTATGTATTTTATCGGGGCATGCATGAGGGATGTTTTACGGTCAACATCAGTCACGTTAAATGTAAAAGTCATTGTCTTAATGTTTTCGGCCACTTATGTCAATCTCGCCCCCCCCCCCCCCCCCCCCCCGGTGCTGTTGGCCAGCTTTATTTGACCACGTTTCACCACGCTGGTCAGGGCGGGTTGGTGAAGGCGGGGAGCATAGAAGCGCCATGTATCCCCACAACTATATATGACAGCCTGATGAAATAATAATAGGCTTTACCCTTTCTGGAAAAGGAAAGGGTAAATCCTATTATTTCTGGAAAGGAAAGGGTAAAGGCTATTCTTGATACTGGCAAAAAGAGTCCCATAGATATATTTGACAAACTGTTGCATTGTGGAGAATATAAGTTACAGTTTATAAAAAAGATTGTGTCTTATGCATTGTGATCACCCAATTAAGCACTATTACGATTATTCAAAAACTAATTTGCTCAGGTAAGGCCCAGTGAGCTATATAGTTCTTTTTCAGAAGTCACCTGCTCACAAAATGATAGCTCAACAAGGTGGCTTATGTGGAAATGTATAGTACTCGACCACGGGGAGAACATGAAAATTAGAACTATACAGGCATTGGGGTCGGGATCAAACCTACGACCTCTCTATTAGCAGAGCTAGTTAGTTTCTTGCCACCGTAGCGCCCCAACATGATTGGAGGCTCAAGCAAGTTTAGCTTCCGAGATTGGGCATATTCCAGGTGCTTTTGTCACGAGGCTATTAATTCCACCTCTTGCTAATAATTGTCTTGATAACCCCAAATTAAATAGTGAACCATGGTCAAGTTACGACTTGGATATCGGGCCAGATTCACGTGACGGTGAGGCAGTCGAAACACAATTCGGTTGCAATGTCTCCGTTGTTAATGTACAAATTTGTTGTTGACAAACAAAAATATAAAATGAAAGGGAAACATCCAGATTTGAATTTGGCCCGTAGTCTTTTAATTGCAGTCGTGATATATGGATGTGGGAGATCATGAAAATGTGATATTGTGTAACCAGATGAGAATTCAAGAGACCAGGACAGTTTCATTTTCAAGAGCGACCTGGGTCCCCAAAATTACTCTCGCGATAATAACATAAAAACAAAAGCACATCAATGAAGCAGATAGAAATGAAAGCAAACAAAAAACGCCTTACAAAGTAAGTAAAAAAGCAAAGCTTAAAAATAAACAATATAAAATTTAATATATTTTCCTGAAAGAAAAGTTAGCTTGCACATATTTAACAAACAATTCATAGAAAAGTTAACTTACAGAAACATCACAATAGATTTCAGATGATTATTGTGCCAGTTTGTGAACAGACTGATTGACCCCGGGTCTCAGAATAAAAATCTTTATTCATCTTGGAGAAATCCGATGAGCTATAAAGCACTTTTTCACCGATGTCCAGTCGGCCTAGTGCGTGAACCACGGCGCCACTGCTCCACCCCTGACAACACAGTAATGGGTGCTATTAAAATCGAGACAAAACACCTCGTCCCCAATTAGTTAACGATCATGATATAAATAATCACGCGTTGTCCGCTTCTGCATCTCCTCCCCATGGCTCGCAGCCCCACGGGGGAGCGATTTCGCAGCAAGCTGAGGCTCGTGGATGCGACGAAGAAGGTCATGGACCTCTCCAACTTCAACTTTCGCACGGGGACGATGACTGGACCCTGGAACAACAGCCCCAACTACAGAAAGCGCCCTCTCACGCCGGACGCCAAGCACAAGCAACCGGTGTGTGTACAGCAAGAGTTAATCTTGTATATATAGAGGACTGCAGAGCTGGGGCTATTATTGGTAGTGCTGGCTCACCACCGGACTGCTGCTGCCTTCCTTCCAGGTTGTCTGTGATTGCTCCTCGATTATGAGAGACAAATTGCATGAACGACACGTTCTAAAGCTAAACATAACGGTACATCTTCTTGGTTCTTTCGGTAAAGTCACGTAGAATGGAAATAATAAAAGAATGAAATAAAACATAATAAAATAATTCTCACGACGTTTCGGCCACAACGCAAGCAGCCGTCCTCAGGTGAAGACCAAGTCTGTACATGTTTAGGAGGAGCCCCGCTTTGGGATGTTGACCGGTGATATTTGAACCAGTGTTTGTGTCTGGAAATCCTTCCGAATCGATGATTTATAATCGCTTGCAGGAGGTAACTTGTTGATCCCATTGTGTCATTTGCACACCGGCTCGGTGGCTCCGTGGTGGAGTGAGCGGCTCGCAATCGGAAGGTCACGAGTTAAAATCATCGTAGGGGTCCCTCCTCCTCCTCCTCCCCCCCTTCCCTCGCCCTTCCCTCCCCTAAAAATACCACGCTCCCAATCATTGTCCCTACGTGAGTAGGGCAGAGAGCCCAACCTCCTTCCCTCCTGCCCGTGAGCACCTGGCCTCAGGCTTTCATCCGTGGAATATTTGTACCTCTCCCCCCCCCCCCTTACCGCTCGCGCTCTGTAGCCGGCTGTTGTTCAATAAAACATTTTTTTTCGTCGGGGGGTTTGACTCAGCTCGTCATCCTCCTGGGGTCAATAAAATGAGTACCACTTTGTGGGGGAGATCAGCGGCAGTTGTCCTGGATGGTTACCCACTAAATTGACTTATTCAGTTCTCTGTGGCTTTCGTGAGCAGTTTATATAAGTGTGATCAGAGGCTAATGGGTCTGTCATTGCTCAAAAAGTTCAACGTATTTTTTTTAAACGTATCTTTCAAAGAGGAGGTTTTCGCAGTCTTATTGATGCCACAATTAACTTTAAACATTTAAAAAATACATTTTATCAGGGCCCCATGGTGTATAGTGCAGTGTCCAACTATTATTCACTCTATCTGTCAGGCCTCTCTGTGTATGCCCTCACTGGAGAGTGATCCGCAATATTTAAAAATCGGATATTGCTTTCAACGTTACCTATTTGGCCGTGTCGGGTGGAGGAGGGTCTACGACACACACATTGTCATTTTACTCACACGCTGATCCAAAAATCCATTACGAATCGTAATATTGATCACGGGAGCCAACACGTGTTACATTTAATTAGGAATCTTTCTGTTTTTGCTCCAGCATGTTCATTTTCGAGACTCGTGCCTCTGTAAAAAAAGGTGCTGATGAGTTTAATTTCCCTGCTGGCAACGACGGAACCCAGTAGACATTCTCCTGTGTCGCTCTTCACTCCACTACCAAATTTCACCAATGATCCGCTCATCTCTTCACCTTCCACCTACCATTGGTGTGAAGTCGCCCATTGCCATGACATGTGTTTCGCTCCATTTATGAATTGGTTTATATCTTCACGGTGGATCTTCATGGATCTTAATTTCGAATCATGTTTACCTTGGTGTGTTTCTAAATGTGCAGTGGACACCTACAGGCTACCTGGCCATGGATCCTGATGATGACGCTGTTTCACTCTGTGACCAGATCACACGTAATGCTCCCAGTCCCGTCAGACCTCAGATTCTAAGCAGGGCTTAACCTAGATAGTTGATTGGTGCCCTCCGAACCCAACAATAGGTGTAGTACGCGTTGTGGGCATTAGAGGGCAGTGTAGAAATATCCACGGTTGTTCCGTATCCACCCGTCACAATCTCCTCCTCATGACTACATCCACTACTCTCGCTGGCCCTGTTATGTTCTGAACTTCCAAGCTGCTTGCCCCCAAGCCTTCCATGGATTCCCAATATCATCTGCGTGCACCTGTACAGACTGGAAGCTCGTTTTCTGGTTTCCTTTTTCAAGTCCGGCTCTCAGACCTGTGCAATAACAGAGATCACATGACCCATGTCTAAATCACCAACTTTGAAACCTAAACTTGACTTCTATGCTCTTGCAATGTTTGGTTTGTGAAGTCCAGCAATAACCTGCCCTGCTACCAACTTGTGCTACTGAAAATGATGCTGGGTGTTAAAATAATAATATTGTTTTTTTTTCTTTTGCAGAAGAAGTTAAAAGTTATGGACTCACCCACCAAGCCGGTTCCGGCCCAAAAGCCCAGCTCCCCCATCAAACGCACGCCTGCCGTCAAACACACACACGCCGTCAAACACACACAAGCCATCAAACACACACAAGCCGTCAAACACGTGCACGTCAAGCAGCGCACGCTCGCCAAGCGCACATCCCCCGCCAAGCAGAAGCCCGCCATCAAACGCACTCCCACCGGACAGCAAAACTCCGTCCGGAAATACACCTCTCCCAAGACGCACACAGCTGCTGTAGCCGAGCTGAGGACGACGGAACATGCCGCTCAACGCACCAACTCGCAGTCAAGTTTGGCTGCTCAGGTAAGATCTCCCGTCTGTAACTATCGGTTTTCTACCGTGGCAGCGCTTGACAGAGCATCGCTTCTCAAAGTGCAGGCTAAATTTAGTGAGTTAATTAACAGCACAAATACTTGTCAAAGCAGTGTTTTAATTTGGTCGACGATGACTGTGAGTGGATGAAAATGACCAAGCGCGACGATGACCACGATTACTGCCAACCAGAGACCGGAGCACAATCGACTTTTGACGAGACGAAATTAACAGTCTGAATGAAGACGCGGACTGGAATAATTTAGTCGCGTGACTAGAGCCTGCGGCAGCCTGAGACAGGCCAATGAATGTGAACGACATAGCAGTTGAAGAAGGTGATGAACGTCAATCTTGCATTCCTTTACACTCGCTTGAACGACTGACTTTATACAAATTAATTGGCGAAGCTGTGTTGGCAGTGGTGCACGAGCACAAATAACAATGAAACTCGAACACATTCGTCAAAAACACTGTGGCCTTAAAAAACGATATAATAGGTGACTTCGGTCAGTGGCCCTTCTGCAGAGCACATAGATAGTCCAGAGTGGTAGAGTGAGAGTCGTAAAATATGCAATGGGCCCCGTAGTGCCACGCAATTGGAGGGGGGTCGTGCGTTGGATCCTCAGGGCTCGCCGAGTGCCCCCCGATCTCCCCCTTTGCTGGCACAAGTTTGTTAGGCAGCTGGGGTTATGACATCGTGGTGATCTCGTTGCATACAGCAGAAGGAGGTGGTGAAGCAGCCCTATCAGGTGTTCACCAGATTCTTCGTGCAGCCCCGGCTCGCCCGCATCATTGTCTTCAAGGAGGTGCCCATCCTGGACAAGATCAAGCAGGTGGGGTGGGTGGAGGAGAGGGGGGGCCCTTTTGTGTTCGCTGTTACGCACCGCTGGCGTCGCTCGGCGGTGGAGCGAGAGGCTCGCAGTCGGAGGTTTGCGAGTTTGCATCCTGCTTGCGGGGGGCTGACTCGGCTTGTCATCTTTCCGGGGTCGATAAAATTAGTACCGCTTTGTAGAGAAGTCAACAGTGGTTGTCCTTTTTAAGACGTAGGCTTTCGCGACCAATGTCATCCATAATAGAGGGGGTTTTTTGGGTTAGATCGCGTAAATATATAAATGTGTCGTTAAACCTGCCACCACCCGACACAGCCAACTAGTAAGGGTTGTCACGTAAACAGAACGTGGCCAATTCGTCACTAGTACAGCACTAGTGTGTAGTGTAGTGTATAGTGTAGTGTATAGTGTAGTGTACAGTATAGTAGTGTATAGTAGTGTACGGTGTAGTGTAGTGTATAATGTAGTGTATAGTGTTGTGTACTAGTACAGCAACACCGGTGTGTTGGAGAGCCAAGCCACAACATTTACAATCCGAGTTCGACGTTTCGCCAGTAATTACAACTAGCTTCATCAGGCGACAGCCAGATTTGTTGAGAAGTCCACCTGTTTCGTTCCTTATATCGAGGCGTAGATGTGGTGACCATGCTTCTGTGCTCTTGCGCAAAGTGGGGGGGGGGGTATTACTGAGTCAACGTACAGTATGCATGTGCATTAACGACACATTTTTTATTTACGCGATCTAACCCAACAAAAACCTCTTATAGTGGTTGTCCTTTGGATGTGTCATAGGAACGTGGAATCTTAATGATCATTTGAGCACGAAATAACTGACCTATGAGTCATTTACCACAGGTGCAAGGGTTTTGGAAAACAGTAACGACATTGGCTATATTATTAATACCCCTTATTAGCCAGATTCACCCTTGGTGAATTTCAAGACTGCCCTTCGGGAGGAGGGGTCTTTTATTGGGATGTGTGGCCAGCTTGCAATGCAACACAATGAAGATTTATTTAGCGTCCAAATTTGACCGCATCTCAAGTTGCTGTACAGAAACGCTCCTTCGACTGTTGTAGTGGCAGTCATAGGCCGCGGTGAAGCGCAGGTCTTGAGCCTGGACCTAAACGGGGGGCAGGCAGTCAACGGCACAGAAGACTGGAGGAAAGGAGTTCCAGACAATGGGGGCGGCAGAGAAGGATGAGTGATTGGAGAGATGGTTGACTGGGCGCTTTAGCAGACGTGCTTGATTGCTGGAGCTGAGAGTGCGTGGAGGGGTTGAGAGAAAGGGACGGTATACTCTTAGTTTTTTCGGTAAAGTCACGTAGGTAAAAAAGAATTAGATGAAATCTGGCTGTGACGGTCCTATCTGATGACGGAGACTTGTGTTGCCTCGGAAACGTCGTGATTTTTATTATTTTATTTTTATTAATTTTAATCTCGTTTTTTTTACCCACGTGACTTTATCGAAAAAACTACGAGTATGAATCCTTGCAGTCACGAAAGCTTCAATTCTAAAGAAGTACGGCTCGTGGCGGTGGCGAGTCTCTCCGTAGGACAACCGTTGTTGGCTTCCCCACGAACTGGTTACCAATGTTCTCCACCCCGACGGGATGATTAACCGACAATGGATAGGCTGGATAGAATTGTATAGTTCATAAGATGGGAGAAAAGAAAAACCCAAATAATATTACTATTAATAACCAGGATAAAAATGTACTTGTTATTAACATTCTATGTAAACATCATTTCAAATACATTCGATTTGGATGCAGTGAATGACAGTGTATGAGAAATAAGCTCCGTGTAACATTCCATCGAATCGCAGCCGGCGCTAGTCAAGACGCTGCAGTGAAAACGCGGCCCAAGTCGCAGGATGCTACGCCAGAGCGGGGGTTTTGTTTTACGAGCGCAGAAATAATTTGATTCTGGAAAATGGGCGATTGCTCATATTGTGATCACCGCAAATAGCAAGATTGATTTGAACGGGGTTAGTTACGTTTCCTTCACGTGCTAATGGGCCGTCGTCACGTCAGAATGCATTTCAGAAGAGTTTTAGTCTCGTACGTTTGCCGGGCGAACCAGTCGGAGCGCTTTATGTGCGTGTGCCAGCACAACGATAATTGCATTAATTTTTTTCACATTTCTATTTATAGCTCTAGAACCTCGCCTGTGTTCTGCAAGGTGAATTGGCCGGCTGTCTTGTGAACTGTTTTTTTGCGTTTGCCAGCCTGTTTTGTGAAAAAAAGCGTCGTGTAAATTCAATTGCGAAATTGTCAGGTAAAAAACACACACACACATACACACAGAAATTGTCAGGTAAAACACACACGCATAACACACAAACACACATAACACACACACACACATAACACACACACACATAACACACACAGATAACACACACACATAACACACACACACACATAACACATAACACACACATAACACACGCACACATAACACACGCACACATAACACACACACACATAACACACACACACATAACACACACAAAACACACACATAAAACACACACACACATAAAACACACACATAACACACACACATAACACACACACAACACACACACACACAACACACACACACACAACACACACACACACATAACACACACACACATAACACACACACACATAACACACACACACATAACACACACACACACACAACACACACAACACACACACACACATAACACACACACACATAACCTTGCCCTACATCGTCGACCTTCCAGTCATCCGCACCGAGTGAATGCTGGTAGTGCGGGCTGTCTCACCGCCTGTGCAGGAGACCTCTGTGAGATACCCACCAGGGCCTTATCCTAAGGATGAGCTCGGCAAGCCAGAACCTGTTGCTCTTACACTTTCACATCTAAATATTTACCGGTGCCCTTCAAGAGAAGATACTTTTATATCGCTGAAATAATCCCTTCTATCGCTGACATCAGTTCCAAATGCATCTGTCTCCTATCTCCACATCTGTTATGTGTTTTGTGGCCTGCAGTTCTCTGCTTATCGGTCAATGCGGCACTCGACACAAAATATTGGGACACCCGGCGGCTGGAGGGATATTGCTCCTTCGCCTATTAGCGGCTGAGCTGAGCGAGCAGGCAACTCATCATTCGTGAAAGTGTCTCTCCTGTCCGAGGAGGCCGCATTTATTTTGTTGCCCTTGTGCCTGAACGTTCTCACCTAATAGAATGGGTATTGATCGTGTTGAACTGTTGACGTGAACTTTGGTGCCGCAGCTGTTTCAAGGCGGCCAGATGGAGGGGAAGAGCACGGTGGACATCGTTGGCGAGGTCATCAACGCCGTGCACAACCCCTGGTTAATACAAGGTGGGGGTCTCGCTTTGGGTTGTCCATAAATCACCTCCATCGCAGCCCCCCCCGGTAATTTGTCTTGCGCTCTTGAACACATACCATTAACGCCCCTGCTGTGGCCGCTCGCGCTCGGGGTGATTGTATACACTCGTGACCGATCTCGGTCGCACGTTCGATCACTCACGCCGTGCGCGCGAGCGGAAGGTCTGCCGCGGACGCGTTGCTTTTGTGCTGTACGGCACACACGCCAACAGCTGCGCGCGTGTGTGCGTGTGCTGCACATGTGCTCGCTTACGCAGCTCTTGCCCTGACAGCCTGTGTAGGATGATACTCGGGGGATCTTTGTGTGTGCTCGGGCAAGTTGGCACAGTCGGCACTCTGAGTATTGCATCTGCAAGTCACCCTAGCCCGTTAATCAATAACATCTGGGTCCTGTGACCTGCCAGGAAGCCTTTGCCACTGCATGTGGTCTCAAAGTGCACCAATTCTGACCTATGCGACATGGTGACATCACCGCTACTTAGCAGCGATGTCGTCGTCACTTAGTATCGAATGGCAAGTGCCTGCCACTTTTGTATGCTTATCAGTGGACTCTTACAGCTAATGAGGATGTCTTGGTTGGGTCATGGAGCCTGCACGCCCAGCCACCGCGTGCACAAGCGTCGCTTTTTTTTTTTACGAACGGAGGGGGCTGGATGAAGGCAGCAGGGTGGCGCTGTGGCAACACTCATGCCTCACAGCAATCGGGGCCTGGGTTCTTTAAAAAAGATATATCAATTTATGTTACCAGGTAAGGCCCACTGAGCTGTATAGCTCTTTTTCAGAAGTCACCTGGCTTTCACAAGAGATAGCTCAACGCGAAGTAGCTTATGTGGAAATTTACAGCAGCCAAGTACTCTAAATGCACGTTGATTCTAACCGTGGAGGGAAAAACCGGAGGACCCAGAGAAAAATCCACGCGACCACTTGGGGAGAGACAAGCAAACTCCAAATATACAGCAGGCGTCGGGGTCGGGATCGAACCCACGACTTCCTGCATACCAGGCGAGGAAGTCAACAATTTTCCACCGTGGCGCCATTGGATTCCCAACTCGGGCACCTTTCTGTCTGGCGTTTGTATGCTCTTCCTCTGTCCTGAATGGCTTTCTTCCCGAGTTCTCCAGCTTCCTCCCGTGGCTAAAACAAGAAAACCGTACATTACAACTGGTTTTGGCCAAACATCCCAAGACTGAAACATTACCTGAAAATGACTCAATTGGGATTACACTTGGCAGCATTCACCACCCCCACCCCCCGTACTGCGAACACATGGCAGTAAGACGATGAGTCTTGAGACTCATTGAGGCCTTCCTGCGTAAACCACCGTTATAGTAATTCTAAGAATATGTAGCAATGGGCTGATGTGGGACGGGAGGACCTGAAGCCAAATGGAGTTGCTAATGGCTGGGACCAGTCAGGACAAGATTGGCCTCCCTCTGGGGGCAACTCGTGGAAAGCATTCGTGAGCAGCTGGTTGCAGCTGCCCTCCAGCAATGAGTTGGCACGGTGGGAGGGGGCGGGTGCGAGTGGTGAATGCGCCAGTCATCCACGTCAATTAACCTGTAACACCTTGCTCTGTCCCCACGAGCTTCCAGTGAGCTTTTGCTCTGTTACATGGTCTCAAAGTGCACCTAGCCTGGCACACAAGTATTGATCACATTACTGCTAATTGACAAAAAAATAAAGAATAATTTAACCCGATGTTGTCGGCTTCAATGTAATGAGACAAAGTATTTGTTTGGAAACTCGTGGAGCTGAGCAACTCGATACGATGTCACATGGTCTCAGAGTGCACCTAGCCTGGCACAGAAGTATTGATGACATTTCCGCGAATTCAAAAATATTAAATTTTCCCCAATGTTATCGGCGTCTAATCTAATGAGTCGAAGTATTCGTTGTGAATCTTCGGGGAGCAGAGAGCAACCCTTGGAAAATATCATGGCCCATGGATATCGCAGAACTAATTCTGAGATCGCTTCCCAGTGACCTTTGATCCACGCAGTAATAGGCAACAGTGACCCACCTTCTCTGCCACCGGGACTAATGTTCGTCGCGTGACGGTCAAACAGATTCCTATTTCATCCCCAGAGCCGATATATTTTAGCGCAGTCAGTTGATGGTCTCAGCCCGGTTACCAATGACTGAACATCATCATTGTCATGATCAATCCACTGCTGGATTAAGGTTCCCCTATGCCGTGGCCATCTCTCATGGATTTCAATGTAATAATCACCCCCAGCACCTGTGCACGAGCTGATTTCATTGCTCCATGTTGAGATAAATCCTCTCGGACGCAGTCCTTTCCTTGGCTTTTACTCCAACATTCTTGACCTTCGGCCGCGACGTGACCCGCCCTAACCCACCCAATTTTCATATTTCCAGTTAATTACGCAATTAACCTGTTAATGTCTGGTAATGATCAATGTGTTCTTCTCTCTGTCTCTCAGCGTAATTACGAGCATGCATCGAGAGGCTGAACGTCAGCGCTATTTAACCCTTTCTCGTTCAGTTTTTCTTCCGGAACAGGGAAGAAAAACTGTTAAATAAAATAACTTTATCGGTACCGAGGCTCCCACATTGCCACGTGGCATAGTTTGGCTCCAACTATCGTGTAGTGTGGTCGTGTGGTCGTGTGGCTATGGTTCTCTGCGGTGAGTACAATGTCTATAAAAACAACAGCGCTCGCCTCTCTAAATAAAATCAACGCTGGACCGCTTGCGCATTCTGAGATTCACGGGTGAACGGGATCCATCCAGCAACTCACAGACGTCTCTGAACGAAAGAGAGTTAAATGACAAAGCGGTGGCCGCTGTTACCGTGTACCGGACGCGTGGACAGGCGTGAGCTCTGCTTCTTCTCTGGACTCGCTGCTCGTGGTCGTGATCAACTCGCTGTGCTACTGCCGTCTGGCGGCGCCAGCGCGGCCGCCCTCGCAGGTCGGCGCCGCCCCACCCGGCCACTCCGGCCACCCTGACCACTGGCCCTTCATCGTCACGGAGGACGACATCAGGCGAGTGAGAGCGCTCGGCGGCTTGTACCGTTGCGTCCCTGCGTAGCGTTGTTCGGGCGCGGTGCCCGTGGAACGGGATGCTCAACCTGCAACAACCTAATTACGGCTACTTAAGGGCATTGTTAATGAGGCTCCTACGTTTCACTTTGATTGCTCGGTAAACTATTAATCTATTCATCCAATTTGCCTGCGGTGCAGCGCTCTGGTTCCCCGGAGAATACGCAAGCCCTGTAGATGGCGCTGCCAGCCCGATGTATGCACTCCGCCGCCAGCGTTCACCGCTTTCCTCGTGGGTTGAAGGCGGGCACGGGGGCACCTCTCCGACGGGGCTATCGGCTCCCCGGCGCGTCGACGTAACTTTACGCCCCCGATGTTGTGCACGGCAGGCAGCAGGAGGAGCGGGTGAAGCAGGCACGGCGCCGCCTGGAGCGGGCGCTCGTGGCCGACTCGTTCGCCGCCATCACCGTGGCCGTCAACACCGTGGCAGTCAACACCGTGGCCGTCAACACCGCCGCCGCGCTTCCCGCCGTGCCGGCCGGCGCTCTGGCCGTCCCCACGTTCGCTTACCCCGTGGTCTTATCGGTCGCTCACCCGGTCGCCAACGTCGGTAACTGGACGGGCAAAGCCGCGGGCGCCACCGCCGCCACCACTCTCCCGCGTTTGTCCGTCCTGCCGGCCGCCGCGCCCGTCGCGGCTCACGTGGGCCTCCCCGGCGCTGCCACCTCCCGCGGCTCCTTGTCGTTGGCGCCCGTCGCCAAGACCCTGACGGTCGCCTCCGCGCTCCCTGGTGCCGCCGGTTACAGGGCAGATCAAATCATCGTCCCCGTCACGCCGTGTCTCATTTCTCAAGTCGCCGCCGTTTCTTCCGTGTCTTCTGCCATCTTCCCTACCGTGACCTTCACCTCCGCCATGGTCACGCCGTCGATCAACAACTGCAAGAATTCTGCCTCCAAGGCGTAGGGGAGATGCCGGTGAGCGTCCGGTCATAGCGTCGCCCGACACCTTTCATTGCAGACGTGTGCTATCGCAGTAATCCTGTGTTGAAAGTTGCGGTCATTAATTGCACCGTTTTCGATGACTGCAAGTCTCCCGATTGAGAAGTCAAAAGGTGTTCTGTAAATACAGGTAGTCCTCTACTTAGGATGGAGATGCGTTACGACGACCCCATCGTAAGTCAAAAATATCGTAAGTCGAAGATGGCCTAGCCTATCCAGGAGTCTTAAAGAATGGTGATAATTTAGCAAAACATAGCAATTTATAGTACCGTACTGTATAAACTATATACTGTATGTATTTATTAATTACAATACTGTATTGCACAGTAAAATGTAAAGTAAAAAAAACAAGATAAATTCTTAGCCTACCTGTATGAACTGCAATTTAATAGAAAGTTTTTTCAGGAAACAATCCTATCTGCTATAAAAACTTTTAACATGCATTGAACGTATCGTAACGTATCATATTGTCCGTACTCACCAAGATTCTGTCCGTCGTATGCACACTTGAACGATGTTAGGTTGTTGATGGCAATTTTGTCGTATCGCTATCGCCATCGTAAGGTCGAAATATCGTAAGTCGGACCATCGTAACTCGGGGACTACCTGTACATCAGCGGGGGGTGGGGGGGCAGTTCGAACATTTTGAGAATGAGAATAAATGAGGAATGGCAAATCTCCATTCGCGTTTAGAGACTTGCTTTTGACGTAATAATAACCACGATTTATAAAGCCCACGCGTTTCAACAATAGGATGTGACGTTCGATCGAGAATTCGGATGGGCCACCGACTTTTAACGCTGCTGCTCTTATAAATCGGCGATGCTCTGAGGTTTCAAACGGTGAGGTGAGCTGACCCCTTTGTGCCTCGTGCTCAAGTTTATGACCACCTGTATTTTTCTTTGCGGAGGAGACGAGTTGCGTGTGATGCTTGTGCATTAACTGGCAATTGCGGTGCTCGTGTGAGCGGTACTTAAAGTCTATATTTGTTCTCCCCGCCCCTCCCCCCTGTCTCCCTTTCTCAGCCTGAGAAATTCTGCACGTGCCAAGCGGCGATGGAGCGGGGGCTGGAGAGATGCGAAAGCGAGAAAAAGCCATCGACTTGCACACAAAGGACAATTTTCTCCCTTTCCCTCCTCCCATTTTGTTCGGCAATTTGCTCTAAAATCGCCGGGTTCCTTCGCGACGCCAGCAGGCGCCCGCTCGCGCGCCTGCTGCGATCTCCACCCAACCCTCGAGGGGGTGGGGGGAATCCTAGCGCCTGGCGCAGCGCCAGGAGACAGAGGGAGAGAAAGTTGCACCACCCACAGATGCAGGAGGCCATTGCAGTTTGCAGCCTGCATGCTGCCACTCGCAGGTAATGCACAGGTGTCGGACAGGCATAATGGATCTAAAAAAAAAAAACCCTGTGCTCTATTTCACGCCTATTTGATGACTCGTGTTGGGTACCTCCTGATGTCTCACATTTTGTGGGGGGTGGGGGGTTGAAGCGGTGGGGAGGGGGGGGTGTAAATGGTTAAGATTTTGTTGATATGATCCTGCGGGTGGAATCCGATTTAGGTTTTTTGGACTCTTGTTCAGAGTTTTACGTGAACCGCAAAGGTAGAGTAACATCTCCTCCCCTCCTCGCGAGTCTGCGGGCAATCGTCAGTGAAAATAAGGAAGGCATTTGCACGCTATGTTTCTGTGTAATCGCTGCGGGTTCCATAATGCGCTGTGCCATTGTGAGAACCAGTTGCGTAACCACTAAGCACAAAAAAAAATAATTTGGGATAACTATCTCTGGCATCTATCCCAAGTGGAGCAAAGCGTAAACCCCTCGCCGGCTGAAAGCGTCCCGTGCGGCGGCAGAGCGCTGGCGTTAGCAACCAACGGACGCAGCTTTCGCGCCGCGCACGTGAGATTCATCGCCGGGTGCCGCCGCCGTTATGGTCGATGGCGGTTTTGTTGTTGTTAGAGGACTGACAGTGATAGCCCGGGCATCAGCGGTGCGTTCCGCTTCTGACGGGGGCATATCGGACGGCACGAAAGGTGATTAGGTGCAGCGGAGAGGCGTTGCGCGCGTGGGGAAAAGAACAGCGGGATGTTACAGCGATATTGTCTGTGTTGTTCGAGTTCAAATAGAGCACAGCTCCAAACTTAACGCACTTCCCCCCCCCCCTCCTGTCGCTCGCATTGCTTCCCCAGTGCGGCGTTGAGGCCTGAACTTTCCTTGACCGATGTAGTTGAATGGCACTTATACATTATGATGTTTTCTATCGGGATTTTTGCAACGCAATCCGTTTGTATCTTCATTTCAAGTTTTCGTGACTGCAGGAATCCACCCTCTCTGATTCTTTCGGTGAAGTCACGTAGATGGGAAAAAATAATAAAAGAACACGACGTTTCGGTCGCAACACAAGCGCCGTCGTCACCTAATCACCTGATCACGGATGCTTGAGACAAACGTAGACACGTGGAATAATCATCCGTAAATTAGAATTTTTTCTATCCTACGCGGCTTTACCAAAAGAACCAGAGAGTATATAATTCGTTTGTACTTTGCGGAATTAGTTGAAAGAGTGGCATACTATGGACCAAGAACTTATTATACTCGTCATACCGATAGCAATTGTGTATTTAAATACAGAACCCTCCGTGTTGCGTACTATAGAGACTATATATATATGATGTGGGTGTTTTAAAAGTACTTTATTTGTATACGTCGATCATGTTTTGTGAACGTTTTGCGTTTTATGCACAACGCTAGCGGCTTGGTGTTAATGGAAGCTTGTAAACGGCCAACGTTTTTTGAGCACAGGTGGTGAATCTGTAAATATGGAAGTTGCGTATAAATATGTGTGCGTGTGTATATAAGTTTAAATGGCCGTGCGGTGCACTTAGATGTGGCAGTAGTATGCACACCACGTGTTTATATTTGTGATCGGGGGATCCGAGGTCTGTCATCGTCGCGGTTGAGCATAACTGCAGGCAGTCGTTAGCGCTGTGCATAAAAATCGGCCCCGAATTGACAAAAGCGTGTTAGACACTTGATAAGCACACATGAGAGTATTAGTTTATTTTTGTTCCAGCACTGCAAGCGTTTGTGTGTAAATCCTCAATTGTGTTACATTTTGTATGGGCACATGATGAGACAAACGTAGACACGTGGATGGCCGTTAGACATTTTTTCGCGATAATTGTGACCTCTGTATGAGGCTCAGCTCTAGGTGTAAATAGAGCAGAGGGCATTTCTGTTTTGGGCTATTGCAATGTTCCTTGATGAGTTGATCGCAGCTTCACTGGTACGCACAGAAACAATTTGCGATGCTTAGTATGCAGGAAACCCTTCCTGTGGTCTGGCATGCCCATCGCCGAACTGCACATCATCAAATCATAGCTATAAATACATTCTGAGAAACATTTTTTTTTTTACATTGGTATGGGTGAGTCATTTCTCTGCGGCGCTATTTCCAAATGACGTTTACATGGTGCGTGTGGGTGCTGCTCGTTTCGTAACGCTGCTAAGAGCTCGACACGGCTACTCGTTTTCAATTGTTGTCCACTCGTGTTCTAGAATGCCAGCCGCTTACCGTCGACGTGCCAGCACGCGCAGCGCCGTGTGAGAGAGAGCCCACCAGCCGTGCTTACTCTGGGTTCAGTGGCGAGCATTTAAAACACAAACCTCCTCTGCGCTTCTTGTCGGCATCTCCTGGACGTGATTGGGGGGAGGGGGGGGTAGCAGCTGTGCTTTTACCCCCGGTGTGAGTGATTTCTGCCCTGCTAGAACCAGTTCCAATCCCGATGTGAGCTTTGAACGATCGCTGCGTTTACTTTTTTTTTCAATTAATGATCAACGTCTTGTGGGGTTCCACGAGTTTCTGTGATGAGCGCGGCTGGACTCGGTGATCGGCGCACGATATCAAATGTCCAAGCGTCTCGTACCTCCTCTGACGACGCACGCACATCCCCGCCGCGGATTAATTACGGAGTGGGGGGAGGGGGTGGCGGTGACGCTCCCCCCTCGATCGGCGGGTCAATGAACCGGCTTCCTCCTTCGGGTTGGGAGCGACGGCGCCCACCCAGCCAGCGCACGCGGTCGCGGAAGCGTAAATATTTAAGTGCTCGGATTTGTGGTGCAATTCGCCCTTCTACCGGCGGCATTGCGAGACCCCCCCCCCCCGCCCCCCGTAGGGGAATGCCGCTTTGTTTTATATTCCGAGCCTCGCCGTCTTGTGCGCGGCCACAGCGGGTTCAGAGAGTGCAGGCGGCGTGTGTTGCGGGTGATGCCCCACTGATGGCTCCCGCCGCACCGTGGGTGCAGTGGGTGCTGCTGCACCGTTGTTGCCTGCGATGGAAATCCGCTGGGAAGCGCCCCCCGCCCCCCCCCCCCCTCATCGGCTTCTCACGTTGCGTGCTCTCCCAATGTGGGCGGTGGGTGGCAGCCGGTTTGGTTAATTATTTTATTTGTCAGCAAAACGGTGGGGGAAAAATACGACGTGGATTTTTAATCAAGGCCCAGCCTCGCTTTGTCTTGCGCGGTGCATGAAGTGTAACGTCCCGTTGGTTTTTTTTTGTTGTGTGCAGCAAAATTGTTATTTGCAAATGCAAATGTGAAGGCCAAATTTAATGGACTGGTTTGCCCAGTTTGTTGTCTAGCGTGATGCGGGTTGGTTTTTTTCCTCTCTCAGTAGAGTACTCGTTTGTGTTTGACTCGTTTTCGTAAATGAACGGCTAATGATACCGTGTCTAGTGATGTTTACCGAATAAAAGACACCAACAGCCCTGTACATAATACTGTAATACATTGTGCACTTTGAGAACTTTCGCTTGTTGCCGTGGTTGTGTTTGTGTCGCTCGTTTAGCCCGGCCTCGATCAATTCCCTTCGGTGACTGCGGTCCCTTATCACAGAAAGAGCCCCCACTTAGGACTCCGCCTCAGGCATCTCAACCCCAAGAATCTAAAAAAAACAACAACGCCGGGTGACGCGGGAGGAATGGGCAACGCACTGTAGTAGGCACGACGAGCCCGAGTCCCTTTGCTCGGCACTGCGATCCGCTGCTTTGTCCGTCGCCTTCGCGATGAGAGGCGCTCGCAAGGCGAGTAAACGAACACCACTTGCGTTTGTGTTGTAGCGGCCGTGCTGTGTCGCTGCCCAAGAAGCTCCCGGCACCTGCGGCGAAACCGTCGGGCGACGGTGCCCGACAATCGGCGAGCGAGCCCGACCACACGTCGGCCGGAGTTGTGGACTAAAGAACATTCGGGAAGGGCAGGGCTGCCCACGGCTTCCCTGGGGGCAGCGATGCCGCGTGGTGCCCCCCTCTCTTACATTCCACCAGCCCCAGGCACGGGGTGGGGGGGGGGCGGGGACTCTTTTGTGTGAGGCCCCGGGGAAAATTGCCCTTTTGCCCTCGGCCCTTCCTGCCTGCCCGCAACCTCTCGGCAGCGGAGTGCTGGTCACAGGGGTCTGATTATGGCGAGTGCATCTCCGTGCGAGCACGAAAGCAGCAACAATGTCGTCTACCGTGACCCTGCCGCACTCGTAATGGGCTACGGTTTTTAAGAAAAAATTGTCATCAGGTCGAGTTTTACATATTGATTGGAACCGGCACCCCCTCGAGAACGCGGCGAGTCGATTAACCCGCGCCGTGGCGAGCGTAAAAGAGCCGGAATATTAACAATGTAAAGCAGCAACAACAAAATCCCACTCCAACCTTCCATTAGCTCTCGTGCGGCGCGGAGAGGGAGATTAACCGTACCGGAATAACTCCACGGTGCAGTGGATGATGCGGATCCATTGCGCGTATCGAGTGCCTTTCGGGCAAATTGCCCGGCCACGAACGAGCGTGGGGCCGCGCGCGCACAGACGCGGTCGCCCATTCTCTCGCGGGAGCGTGGCGGCCTCGCCGCTCTATTTCTGTGGTGCGACGGCGGCGCGCGCGGGGACCTTGCGGGACAGCCGCGAGGATAGAAACAGCCGCCGGGGCGTTCTCGCGGTGCCGTTTCCCGTGCGGGGGTCGTGGAGGTCAGGGCGCCGTGACATGACCTCCCCCAGCCTCCAACACCACCACTCCCCGCAGTAGTCGCCGCTCCGGGCGCCCTGCCGATGTCGCTGGGCGCGGGCGAGATGCACGGAAGGAGGTTCGGCGAGGAGACCGGCGGATGTCCCATCCGCACGATCGAATTGGCCGTCAGTTTCGGAGTGGTCCCTCCGTGTTCATCATTGAGGCTCGGAGAGCCGGAGTCGGGCTCCCCACTGGCTTCAGTGTTTATCTCACGAGGCGCACTGAGCAAACTCGGGTTTCCCATATGGCTCATTGTTGATCACTGGGACTCAGAGCCAGACTATGGTTGCCATAGGGTGCATTGCTAGTTTCAGAGGCTCACGGAGCAGACTTAGATTCCCAGAGTGCAGTGTTAATCACAGGCTCATAGGACCAGATTATGGCTCTCATAGGGTTCAATATTAATCATAGGCTCATAGAGCAAAACTCGGGCTCCCCATAGGGTTCAGCTGGGTTCAGCAGCAGCCGGGGGAGACTGGCGGAGCGATATTTCCTGGCCGACGTCCATCCGTGAGATGGAATTGGCCGGCGGCGTGGAAGTGGTCGCCGCCTTTGTGCTGCGTGAATTGGCTGAAAGTTAAGCGGCGAGAGAGCTTAGCGCAGTGCTTTCTTAACCTGGGGGTGCGAGATGAGATGCCCTTTGTGAGAACCAAAGGGGGGGGGGGTGCAGACTGCAGTAAAGGTTCAGGACCACTGGTTTAGCGGAAGCTTGTATTCATGTAATTCCGATTATTGCTTCAACAAACACGAGGTGTACAGCCACCCACAAGCGTGCTCGCACACGCGCTCAGCTCACTCCCGTTGTCCTGTACCCGTGCGTTCCACCGCGGACTGCATTCGGAACTTCTCGTGAGCGAGCTTTTGTCGCGTTAAGAGCAGCTCAGCGCCTCTTCAACGCGACCCCAAATAAATGAAAGGCAACATCCAGAGTAGTGCGAGTGTGGCCGTGCAACCAAAACGGTGGACCAATCGGTGAGCCACAGCGGTCTGCGCTTAAATCTCAACGGAGGAGGAATCTCAAAACTACACCAACGACCCCCTCCTGAAGCTGCCAAAGGTATTGTTACAGGAAGATATTGTTACGGGAAGGGAAGGCAATGGATTAACATCGTCCACGCGCCCTGTGAACGTGTGCGCCCGCTCATTATGAAGCTTCCGGCGCATTCAGCGGAACGTCGGACAACTTCCTAACAACGCGAGGTACGACCCAAAAATATGTGAGGGTGTGATAATAATGAATGGGTGCTTTTTACAGCAGACGGGGCGAGTTTGCCGGCAGAAAGCGGCGTCGTCGAATTCCATCCTTGAGTAATTTTCGGGCATTTGTTTTTTCTCTCCCCAATTTGGCAAATGTTGGGACAATGACGCCTGCAATTAATGGCCTTCTCATTGACAACGACGTCGGTATCTTTAACGTCCACTGCGTGAAGCAGACGGGACGTATTTGCCCAGTTAAGCACACCACACAGTATTAACCAGTGCAGCCTCTCGGAGCCGAACCACAAACCTCCACAGCGAGCGGCGGATGCACTCCCCTCCGCTGGGCAATGTCACCCCCCGACGCTCTACCTTTTTAAAAAACAAATATTTACAGCCACTGTTGAAGCTAAATGTTTATTTTTCGATTTAAAGCTTTCGTGACTGCAGGAATTCATCTTCTTGGTTCTTTCGGTGAAGTCACGTAGAAGGGAAGTAATGAAATAATAAAAAATAAAACATAAAATTATTCTCACGACGTTTCGGCCACAACGCAAGCAGGGGAGACAACGTCTGAAAAGTCATTCAGACGCTGTCTCCCCGACAGACCTGGTCTTCACCTGAGGACGGCTGCTTGCGTTGTGGCCGAAACGTCGTGAGAATTATTTTATGTTTTATTTTTATTATTTTATTACTTCCCTTCTACGTGACGATTTTACCGAAAGAACCAAGAAGGTGAATGTTTATTACGTACATACTTGTTAATGTCATCGTTATCAACAGATAGGGCGAAGCATCTTCTGCACAAAAATTGCGTTTGCAAAAAAATTCTAGATTTGAAGCTTTCGTGACTGCAATGATTCATATTCTTAGGTTTTTTCGGTAAAGTCACGTAGGTAAAACATCAAAATTAATAAAAATAATTTTGATGCAAAAAAATTATCGCGCGCCAGATACTTCGATTTATAGTGTGGCTAAAAATAGTGCAGACAATTTAAATTATCGACCACGAACACAAATCTGGCGGCGTAATATTGCGGTCGCGTTTCCCAAAATAAAAACCCGCAAACGATTGCCCTCCGATATCTAGAAAGTCAAGTCGCAGGCATTCGTCGAAAGAAAAACTAAAAAGTTATTTCAGCGACGTGACAGAGCAATTGCTCTCGTGACTTTGAAAGTGGTTTTAAAAGTTTCCCTTTTGCCGATTTAATTTCACATAATGTTGGTCGCCACCACGATTTTCTTTAAAATTGCCTTTCTGTGTTTATCTTCTTGGTTCTTTCGGTAAAGTCACGTAGAATGGAAATAATAAAATAAGAAAAATTAAACATAATAAAATAAATTATATTATTATATTATTATTTTGTTATGTTTTATTTTTATTGGAATAGAAATAATGAAAGAATAAAACATAATAAAATAATAATATAATATTATAATAAAATAATAATATAATAACATTATTTATTTTATTATGTTTTATTTTTCTAATAATAAAAGAATAAAAATAAAACATAATAAAATAATAAAATAATAATATTATTAATTTTATTATGTTTTATTTTTCTTATTTTCTTATTTCCATTCTACGTGACTTTACCGAAAGAACCAAGAAGATGAATCCCTGCAGTCACGAAAGCTTTAAATCGAAATTTCTGTGTCTAGTTTGTTATCTTCCCGCACCTTCGATTAGCGCGGTTGGCTACGTACGGTGCGAAAGAAGTTCAACGCACACAGACGCGTGCACGTCACCTTTCATTTTGCGCATCGAATGGGGTTAATTATTTGCATCAATTACCGCAGCAAACACACACACGCGCAGGCTCACTCTCTCTCTCTCTCGACGATGTCAAATCATGGCGAGCGATTTCACTGATCCATTGGGCCTCCCGATCGCAAGCGGCCCAATTACCGCAGCGTGCGGTTTGTTTAGAAGTGGGCGCTTTGGAACAAACTCTTGTTCCCCTCGACAATTACCAGCGAATTGTAACCCCTTTGTACCCACAGGAGGAATAAGTATACCCCGTAAAAACAAAGTTTTTCACTATAAATACTTTATATGCGTGGCGGCTAGAGTCCTCTCGTCCTCTGGCTTGAGATGGCTGCCACCTATGGGTCAGATGATTGTCTGCCAGTATTAAGCAATTGGTAATTAAATATTTAATTTGTTTTCCCGAAACAGTGTAAAATTTTGGGAAAAATTTTTTTTCACGAACAATAATTGTCACGCACAACGAGTCTGTGTGGAAAATGTCAGCTCGATTGGATCACGGGAAGTGGGTTAAAAAACGACCGAAAGATTTGCACGGTCGTAAGCAAGCAAGCACGCAAGCACGCAAGCAAGCAAGCAAGCGAACTTAATATAAATGATTTAATAAGTATAACCCGTAAAAACAAAGTTTTTCACTATAAATCCTTTATATGCGTGGCGGCTAGAGTCATCTCGTCCTCTGGCTTGAGATGGCTGCCACCTATGGGTCAGATGATTGTCTGCCAGTATTAAGCAATTGGTAATTAAATATTTAATTTGTTTTCCCTAAACAGTGTAAAATTTTGGAAA